AACGAACAAGTGTAAGTTTTTTCTTTTTAATTGTTTGGTATGAATGGGAGTTTTTTTTTTTTTTGGTTATTGACGACAAACTTTAATTTTTTCTTGTTAATAGCAACGACGTCGTGATTCTTCCCTTGCCCGTCCTGCCCGTCCTGCCTGTCCTGCCCGTCCTGCCCGTCTTACTACTCCTTAAATCGATACTCTTGTATTAAAGGCTGCTATTGCTGATTGGCGTATATCAAATCCAAAGTCATATGAGTAAGTTTTGTGATTTGTTTGAAATATGAAGATGCATTCTTGTTAACAAATAAGCATAGGGTGTTGGAATTTGGAATTCTAGATTTAGTCACAGACCCAAATCCAGGAACAGTGGTGGTACTTGACAACAATCTTAATACTATTTTATCTATAATTCTGGATATACCTATTAGTCAAGCAGGTGCATCTGCTGCTAAGAAAACTGCATCTGAAGTTGTGAAGGTATTGGTAAGGGAATCTTCAAATCATGATAAGTGTGTCTAAGTTAAATACTAATTGTCTGATCTCTATAGACTGTAAAGACAAAAGAACCTTTTGAAGATCAACTGAAAAAAGCTTTACGGTATACCAAGAAAAACTGCCATAATGACAACAGCAACAATAACAACAATGAAAGCAACAAAAAACGAAAAGAAAGAAAGGCCGTCTTGAAAGTGATTAATCTTTAGTAAGTGTTAAATGAAATTGTTTTTGGAAGATCGTTCGGCTGTCTAACTGTAATATATATATATATATATATATATATATATATATATGTATACTCGACATCAATTCAGAAATGGAAGAAACCTCTTGAAAGAAGTACAAACGGAAGGAAACTATGTTGTTACTTTTTTGGCACCTTTATTTGATCGACTTCTTTACGATATGCTTGAATTAGACTGGATGCGGTATGATCATTTCACTCTATTTCAATTTCTCGGTTTTGCTAATCATTCAGTTTTGCTAATCATCTTTATAATCATCTTTTTAGGGGTGAAACAAAAATGAAATCGGCGCAGCAAATTGACAACGATGTATTGGATGATGGAGAAAGAAGATCATCAAGTAGCAATGTAGATGGGAAAGTGACTGTATCTGCGACTGGCATAGACTTATGCATCATTGAAGTCTCCGGTCCACCCTAAGTAAAAGACTACACCCACTTTGTCAATGATCGAAGAAAACTTTCAGTAAATATGAAAAAGGCGTTTCGATATATAATTTACAAGAACAAATCTGCTACGAAAAACCTGCTGCAGCGAGTGGCAATATAGACACTGTTCATGATCATTATAAAAATTACATAATCTATAAATTTTAAATAATCTATAGAAAATTATTATAAATATTATAATTTAATTTTTATCTTCTAAAATAACAACTGCTATAACTTTTTTTAATTTTTTATGTTTTAGTTGTACTTCTTCCATTATAGTATCCTCTTCATTATTACTAATTTCTACTTCATTATTTTCATTTATATTTGAACTTCAATTTAATTTTAAAATTTCTTTTTGTAATAATAACATTTCATTAAAATTTTTATCTATAGTTATTTTATCTGTAACTACTATATCTATTTTACGATCAATTGTAGGAAACTCAAAATTATCTGTATACCACAATTTATGGTGTAGTTGTGATGGAATTTTATATTTATCTACCATTTTCCAAATATTCTTTAATAAACAAGCTAATTTAAATGTAAATTATAATATTTAATATCTGTTATTTGCATTGCTGATGTATTATTATTAAATCAATTAAATTTTGATGCTAATACAGAAAATTGATCTTCAATTTCAGAACGAAAACTACCAAATCTTTTATTATATTATAATTCTATTGCTGTTAAATTCTTATTATTTTCTTTTCTTATAGGATAAACAAAATTTTTATCTAGTAAAATCTTTTCCTTTATTTAGACTTTCTTCTTTAAATTTATTAATATATAAATTATAACCACCATCCATTGCTACATAATCTACTATATGCATCTTATTATATAATTTTATTTCAAGAAACATTGTTCCATCACTGCCTTTACCACATTTATCACTTTTAGATATATATATAATCATTTGGTTACTATCAACAACTATTTGGGTTCTTAATCTAGGACCATCTAATTTATATGATTTTATATCTTTTGTTTTTGTATCAGGATCATAATATTTTATTTTGCCATCATGACCATCAATATATAATGTCACATTTTTAAATGATGATGGATTATTTAATAAAGATGATATCATTCTAATTTTTATATTTGAAAACATTTTATTCAAATCTGTATCAATTTTTTTTATTAATCTTTTATAATTAGAATGCCAAAATTTTTATATAGTGAATAATATGTAGTATATAACATAAATTCATGCATATCCCTACCTGCTTTACCACTTACCATATGATATAAGATTAATAAACCTTTATCAATTTCCTTATATGGACCAGGGTATTCAGAAGTACTATAAATACAGTTTAAAAAATAAAAAACAGGAATATATCTTAATTGATTTCATAAAACATCCTTTACTATTTTAATATTATTATATTTTATATCTTTGATTTCTATACGATGGTTATATTTGTTATTTAAGATATTCCAATTTTCATCTAAAAATGTCCATTGTTCTGCAATTAATTTATTTATTTCATTATTTAATATATCATTTAAATTATTATCATTATCCATATTTTATTTTTTTATTATATAATAATTCAATTTTATTTTAATTAAAAATCTTATTTTTTATAGGAATAATATTATCAGTATCTTAGTAAACAATCTGCTATATGGTTTGCACTTTTATGGTATGATTATAACAGTTTTAACATTGATGTGATGATTTGTAACTAATAAAAAAGTTATTAACTGCTTTTCTTCTTTTTTAGAACATAAACTATATATCTATTCTTTAAAGATACCACAATGGGGTGTCTATGTATTCCAACAAGAAAAAGAGTTGCAGATGCTAGTGGAACCAGTAACAGTGAAAACGGATATTCTCCATATGGTCAAAGCATTATGGCAACTGAAGGTAGATTGGATGATAAATGGCACAAATGACAGAGCAATAAAACTGAACCCAGCTTTTTATTATGTAGTGTAAACTTATTCAAAGTGCTGCAACCATCACAAGCTATCTTGAATCCAATGATGATGATACATCCTCCGACAATTCCGAAGCCTATGGTACCCTAACTAAAAAGCAAAAACGAAACAAAAGATCAAGTATTGATTTTTCACAATGAGATCAACCCGATGCTGTTTAATAAAGATCAAGACAAATATTAGCAAATCCCAATTAGTCATTGATAACAACCCATGTATTTTCTTATTACCCACCTTTTTTATAAGTAAATAACAACAAATTCCCAACTCACATATATCATTTTTCCATAAGAACAAGTAAATAATTTCAAATTCTCAACATATATAAATACCCATAATATTCATAACCATCTGTATATTCATTGTTAACAAGTATATAACCCCAAGTTCCCAACACACATCTAAAAGATTCTTATTTTTTTTATCCCTGATTCATTTTCCCACAACAACAAACAAGTAAATAATTCCCAATTCTCAATCTACAGCAAGACAAAGAAGATTATTGTCAATTAGTTAAAAATCAGTTGTTTTTTTATTTTAAAATAAAACGCTGTTGCAAAATAATAGCTGTAGGATCATTGCGAGCAACACGTTAACAAACAGTATGTTTGTAGGTTAGGTGGCATTTCTTGTACATACGATCGTTAACAGCACAGCTGGTAATATTTGAGCCTTGGAATGTTGGCAAAGTAAATCAGTGACATCACCGTAACTAATTATTGGCTGTTAATGGATTTTTGTAAAGATAAAAACAGTATGCTCGTCACTGACCTTTGATTTAGTGCACTAGTTTTTTTTTTTTTTTTTTTTTTGGACGAGCCAGAAACCCTTTCTTCACCACTGTTAAATGATTCGTTCCATTGATGCACTCGACATTTGGCAGTTGAACAAGCTAAATTAGCTTTGCCTGCAGCTACTCTAATAGACATGCCTTCATTTTCCTGTAATAGATTAATCAATTTTGCAACTTTGATATCATTTTTTGTGTTGTATGGGCCACGAGGTTGACGCGAATCACATTATTGCTACTAGTAGATTCTTTGGGTTGTTTTACTTTTTTTTTTCTTTTTCTTCAGTTTTGGAAAAATACAATTCTCTCGTCAGTAGTGGTAATATTACTATCATCAATGGTGTTATTATCTCCCATGATAGCAGTAAATATAAAATGAAATTTTCAAAAACAAAAAAGATGTCATTTCTTTATGTAACAGTTATACTATATGTCTTTATATATGTTGAGCTTTTCTTGGCTCAAATTCGTTACACCATGATATTTTTAGAGATAGGTAGCTTAGATTTACTTAACATGGCTCAACTTCAAGGGTGGTGGCTCAATTTCGTTCAAGTAACTTCAATTTAGAAACTGAGGCCCATTTTCAAAATTGTGGATCGTTTTTATTTTGGATGGCCAAATTCAATTTCCAATGCTGTACTACATCTTTCGCCAACACTCGCTTTACAACTACCGACGGCAGCTATATGTGAACCTTCAGATAACCCTGAGCTCTCCAGCGTTATTCGACCAGCGACTCTCTCATCTTTGCCTGTGTTGAGTGTATACATTTTCAACTCTTCTTTGGGATATCTTCGCCCTCGTTTCCCTACTGATGGTCCACGCGCTTTCCCCTGGGTTGCAGCTCAGTTTACTCAAGCAATTATCAATGGAACCATCCACCTCCGCTTCTTTTTTGTGCGACTATGTGTTCCTGCTACTTTCGCTTATAGCAACTCCACAGGTGTCTCAGGCACCACAGATGGCTCACTGCTTGTCGCCTCATATGACCATCTGCTATCACTTGCACCAGTTTTTTCACGTCACTTTCGTCGCAACTGTGTCCGCCGCACCATCACCAACTGATCGCCAACATCAACGATTCCTGTAGCAAACTGGCACAAATTCTGGGCCGAACCTATGTTTTCGTCTATCCGTAACGCATGGTTTCGTGCTGTACACAATAAATTACCTACTGCTGCATCGCTCAACCAAATCATTCTAGACTTCTTACCTACCTCTTGCTGTCAACTATGTCATTCAATGGTGGATACTCTCGACCACTTTTTGGTCACCTGCCCTGTACGCTGGTCGGTATGGACCCGTATGTGGGGGCCTCTTTTCTTTTGTGAACCTGAGGCTCACGCCCTGATTCAAATCATCACAAAACTTGACTGGCATCTCCTCCCCACCCTATCCACCCGTAAATACTCCGCCACTATACAATGCACATTACTGGCCATTTGGCGAGCCTACTGGTCTTATATTTTTGACAACACCCCTTTCCTTCCTGACGCCGTCGCTCGTTCAACTTTGTCGCTAATCCCCAAACTACTTGGGTCAGCTTCTGACGGCTAGTATCATCATTATAGATTTTTTCTTCTCTCTTCCTTCATATGTTTTACTCTACTATAGTTCTTTATTTCTTCGTGGCTCGCCCCTTGCATCTGCTACGCGTGACTGCTTAATAAAATCCGGTTCAATTTGAGCCAATACAAAAAAAACGTATAGACTGCGCTTACAACATGTCCCTCAACATCTACACGTCCATCACGTCAAAGCAAACGCTTAACAGCTCGCCGTTATGAAGTTTTAAACTTCCATTAGTTCTCAAGACAAACAGTTATAATCTAACCTGGAAGGGGGTAATGTGGTAAACCACACTACTATCAGATTGATCCGGACAACTCAACCCACTCCGCCGTCTTCGTAACCATTAGAATGCAGTAGAGAGAACACCACACACACAGATGAATCAAATATCACATAATTAGCACCATATCAATAATCTCTCAAACATGGATCACAATCAAGAATAACTCAGGACTAACCGTTGTATACACATTGTCCTATTCTCGAGTTAGTCAGCACTTCCTTTAAATCTAGCTTATCTGAGTTGAGCGAAATGTACCTGTCAAAGAGCAGATACTGATTCCAGCACAGACAAAAGTGAGACTTCACCAAACAAGAAACACACTGATCAAGGCAAAGATGACTCTTTACACTCGGAAGACAACGTCTATTATCATAACTGACAAACTCAACCTTCCCATCCTTCTTCATCTTTGAAACATCCGAAATCCGGCATATCCGCGATCCATTCATCAGTTCATCCAAACGGAAGTTGAGACAACATCTACAACAGTATATGAAGGGTTGTGAATTCATATAATAAAAATCATTTTATATTTGACTCTCACTGTATTTTATATTGTCTGTTATTTCTATCTTTTACTCTTATTACCTATCCACAACCCACGTTTATCACAGACGGTCGTGGATTAGTTTGTACTCGTTTTTATGGAATGACATCGACGCGCTTTATTATTGCCAGATACTGATTCAGCTATATATTATAAAGCTGCTAATTACATTGGTGAAAATATTTCCAAGGCACCACCAATAGCAGAATACTTATTCTCCTCCATGATCAAACTTGCGTGTTTTTCTGTTGTCTAAAGAGCCTTCTATATATGATCTAACAGGAAAAGACGGTAGTACTCTTCTATTTGCATAGACATAAACCAGCAGAAGTTGTCACTGATCGCGCAATCGCTTGAGGAACCAATCAATATGTAGCGATCTTGACGCGTCACAATAATGTCATCCGACCTTTTCGCGTCACTTATACACATATACATACTGTCAAAGTGATCATTTGGCACTGCATCCCTCTTTCTCACCTTTTCTATTTTTTCTTCATTTCTATACTTCTCTTTGACGTCTAAGACCAACAATTTTTCCTCTAGCTGTTCAAAGTGGTGAGCTACATGTTCCATCGCTATATTTAAGAGTCTGTAAGAAGGTCAATAGCACATAGACTGACACACTGTAGTAAGCATACTTTACTGCTGTAGTCCATGTCCAGCAGTAACCAACGAGCTGCAGCATTGCTGCTTGGTGATGGGGTTATAGCAAGAACAAGGACACGACGCCAAACAAATGACAATGATCTGGCCATCATACTGGGCCTACTAAATGAAGTACTCCTAGAGAAACTTGATCGCTTCCTAGAAGACCATTACAATAGTTCAGAAAAAGCAATACGCACCAAGATCGAAGATAAGCATAACTTGCCGTACGGGACGATGCAGAGTGTAGTGCGACTTGCAAACGAGCAGTACCAATTGAACATCAGCGTACAACAAGCTGGCAATCTGCTGGGGGGTAATGGGAATTAATGCCTTTAAAAGAGTATATATATTATTATACAGATATAGATTCTTTAATTGTAGATAAAGCTTTACCTTCAGAATATGTAGGAACAGAATTAGGACAATTAAAATTAGAATATTCTAATTCTAATGGTTTATATATAGGTCCAGAATATATTTAGTTGATAAATATAATAGTGATATAATTATTAAAGCAAGAACTATTGGGTCTGATTTAACACCTCAAGATTTTTAATAAACTTGCTGCAGGTAATTCTACTACTAGATATAAAACGAAATGGTTTAAAAATCTATATACAGCTGATATTCAAATTAGAAATATAGAGATAAGATTATTATCTAATTTTAACAAACGAAAAAAAGTGTTTATGAATGGTGAATGGGGTTAGTACTGCACCTTTAATTATTAATGAATAAATATAATTTTAATAAAAAACTGTTAATAATAAATTTATTATTGTTTTTATGGAATATAATATTTTACGGAATATTTCCTTTTTTGTAATTAAATACAATTTATATATTACTTTTAATAGTATTTAATGAAATTGATAAATAAAATAAAGATTTTATATTATTAGAAACTAGGGGTGGGATTGGAGGCTCCTTGTTACCTTTATTTTATAAAAAGGGAATTTAAAATTATAGGATTATCTTTATGTTTTATTAAGATTATTTTTACCACTTTAAACTATCCTTCTTTGATATATATATATACTATAAAAAAAACCCCATCTCCATTTATTATCTAGATAATGAGGAAATAAACAATTTTGTTTTTTATTAATTTAATATTTAATTAATAAAATAAGTTGATTTCATTTTTTGTATTGTTAAGTTTAATGTTTTCTTAAATTCTGGTTTATGGGGAATATTATAAACACTATTATTATTATCAATCATTAAAGTTTTATTATGATTAATTAAGTAATTTTTACTAATATAATCTAAGACAAATTTGTGAAGATTATTAATAAATTCATCATTACCATAAATTCTAATAAAACTTATTTTAACCATGTTCTGAAGAATATATACATCATTAGCATTTGTAGCAAAACAATCATATACAGTTAAAATATTATATTTTTTTCTTTAGATAAAATTTCTTTAATTAATAACACTACATAACTTCCATACATTGAATGTACAAAATTAGGAATACATGCATTTACTTATTTAATTTTATTAATTTTTTCTTTAATAGGACTTTTTACAAGAATTTGTTTAGTTTTACCTAAAACTTTAGTAGATAATGTTACAGATGTGAACTTCACATATTTTTGACTAATTAATAATCCTGAAGGAGTAATCTACTCAATAGGAAGGTTTCAATTAAATATTAATTATTAATAAAACCAAATTATTAAAATAGTTAGATATTTCATTTAATTTAGGATGTACAATATATAATGATTTATGAATCATTTTAGCTAATAACATTGATTCTTTACTTGTAATTAAAGTTAATTTATTCTCATCTTTAAGTTTATAAAACATTTTCCTATCAATTTTTTTATATATAGAAAAATGATCTTGAATTAATTGATCATAAATTCCTCTAATCTTAACTCTATATGAAATAGTTATTAAACTTCTTCTTACAATCTTTCTATTTAATACTAAACCCTTTAATCTGGCATACTCTAAATCACATTCCTCTATTTTCTTAATTTCTTCATTAATAGGATTTAACATTAAACTATAAAGATCATTAGGATCATCTTTCATATCAGATTCAACTAAATTAACTTTACTAGCTAGATCAAAATCAGAAATCATTACAGCTAAATATTATACACCATTACATGTTGCATCCAAATAAATTGGTAATCTAGAAATAAAGTTTAATGGATCCTTATTAGAACCTTGTAACTCGAAACAAAAAGTTAAAAATAACATAGGTTCATCAGCTTTTCTCTATAATCCTGAATTTAAATCTAAGATTTCTGAAAAATGTTGATCAACCCATTCTAATCTTTTGGTAATAGATAATTTATTTAATCCAGAAGCATTTGCTCCATAAACCTTTAGTGAATTTAATCCATTTTCAGATAATACATTACCTTTTTTGAATAATAATAATGATCTTACTAATTCACCACCTTGGAAATTTAATTCACCCCCTTGGCAATAAACTCTTCCTCTCTAGTCTAAAAAGAAAGTAAAATAAAATTGTTCAACATCTCTATAAAGTTTAGCATTAGTTAAAATTGAATTATTATATAAGAATTTACTATTATGAGATATAATTTCAAATTCTTTTTCTTTATTATTCTTTTTAATAATCTCACTCATTTCATCTGTGTCCTTATGTAATGTTCTAATAATTAAATCATCATTAAGTGGCAGATTCATTAGAAAATCTAATAATTTAAGATTAATATTGATACTAATAGATGACATATAATTAACCATCAATTATCATTTTATTTATAAATTTAATATTTGATTCAGTAAATCTTTTACTTCTAATTAAAGGATTAAAATTCTTAATATTATTAGTAATATATCCACCATATGTCTTAAATTCTTTGTTATCATTTAATTCCCAATCAATAGGTAGATATACTATAGGTAATTCATGACCATCGATCATACCTAAATATTTAATATAGTTTTTCAATTAGTAACTAGGAATAATTTCTCTATGAGTTTTTTTACTTTTAATATTATATCGTTCTAAGATATTAAAAAGATCACTTTTCATATCCAAATAACTAATAATAGTACCACCAATATTAATAAAATTCTCTTCATTCATTGTAGAATTTTTCAAATATAAATTAAAAGTTACAATATCCTTAGATTTATCATCAACTTCTTTAATATATTTTTGATATAAACATTCTTTATATAAAGTTTTTCCTAATCTATGAAATAAATTAGTAACTGATTGTTCTTTATTATCTTCATATTTCAAATAAAGGGGATTAACAATAGGGATCTGCACGGTTCAGTTCGGTTCGGTTCTTAAAGGGAACCGAACCGAACTGTCTAAAGCAAGAACCGAACCGACTAGAACCGACGAGAACCGTAGAACCGAAGAACCGAACCGAAGAACTGAACCCATCATGTATATAAAAAAGGCAAGATTCGGTATCTTTAAATGAAAGCTGATGTGTGTGTTCAAATGTCACAGTATACTTGAATACTGCAGTAAAAAAGAATAGTTTATTATTGTACATTGAACAGCGATCTCAAAATGAATAAGAGAAACAGAATGTAAACATTCTCATACGATGTGGGTCATTGCATGGTTAAAAAATTGAAGCACAGTTTTTACAAAAAAAAGTGGAGCTTATAGTACTTACTTAGAGCGACTTAGTATTACTAGTACAATATGTTATCGTAACATTGGAGGAATTGAACCACAACCGGCAGTACATACAGCTGCTGTGTCTCTACATGTGTATAGTGTATAGTGTCTCATAAAAGGCAAAGGGTGAATGGGTAAGATAATTCTATTATGAGCCCCAGAATGCACAATCTCAAACGGAATACACAAACTTGATAAAACTGATCGAGAAGCCATGATAAATCTAGTAAAGTAGTACGTCATAGAGAAAAATGCATTGTGGGTAGCAAAGTAGAGGAACAAGTAATGATGTGCGTCATGGGCGGAGAAAGCAAGCTGCCGTCAGAAGAAGTGTTTTTTTATTTTTTGCTCTTCTCTTCTTTACTATTTTTTACTCCCTTCTGCTTTTGCAGGTTTTGTTAAGTTTTTTAATAAAGTATGGCTTGCAAATACACTACTTCGTGGTCTTTTCGGAATAACATTGTTCGTAACTTCTATTATAGCCTACTTAATACTAATTACCAAAATCGCTGATTGCAATCTTCTGCCTCTCGGTTCTTCGGTTCTATATATACAGAACCAGTTCGGTTCCGGTTTCGGTTTGGTTCGGTTCCGGTTCTACGGTTCTGATACGGATCCCTAATTAACAAACTTAAAATCAAGAACAGCATCAAGGATTTATCTATTTCTTTAAACATAAAAAGATATTTTTTGTTTCTAATATATTTTTTATTTTCAAAATACATTTTTAAGTCATCTTCTAACAACTTATAGTTATTTAAAAATATTCTAAACCCAGGATTTGTATTTAAGAAATCCTTAGACTTACTCATTTTTTCTAGTTTTTTCAACCATGAAGAATGTCTAAATTTATTTGTTTTTCTTTAAGAGATAAAGTAAAGTTTGATAAAATTACTTCAATAGTAATATAACCACTAGAATTTTCATTTATAAGAGAAAAATCTTTTAAATCATTAAAAGTTGAATAAAAATATATTTTCTGACAGGTTTTTATTTATACATACCACTGAAGGTAATAAAGCTAAAAGTAAATTATCCGGAGTATTAATCCAGATATTACTAGTAATTAAACCATCAGGTGTTTAAAATCCTGATGTAACTTGAAATAAGCTCTGTAAAAGAGTTTAAATCGCAGGTATTCAAAGGGAAAATAGGGCAATCACTAAAAATATAGAGTAAGTTTGTAAACATCATATTTAAAAAGTAAGTAAGTAATTAGATAGCATCTAATTTTTAGTAATGATTTATTTAGTTTCAAGATTAATTATCTCTACTTACATTACCGCCACAAGAAGACATAAATTAAGGTACCAGGTACCAGGGGAGAATTTTAAAAATAATAATAATAAATATTGATATCATAGGAGATTATTTATTATTATTATAAAATAATAATAATAATATTTTATATGAATCATCAACCCAGAATGATTCGTTTAAATAATAGCAAATAACTAAAATTCCAATATGACATAATAACATAATTATTAATAATACAAAATTATTCCAATCTCTTAATGAAATAATAAGGCAAACTAATTTATGTAATAAAGGTCTATTCTTAATAAATTCTCGTTCTTCAATTTTAATTAGTTTACTTAACATACCTATAATTAAAAAGAAACAACCAAGAATTCCAATAAATGTAAATAGACAAAAACAAAAAAATAGGAGGTAAAACAATAACAATAAATATTTTTGAGAACTATAAAATTTTTGAAATCACTAGATTATCAAAAATTAATATGTTCTCTTTCATTTATTATAAAAATAATTTAATTATATCATAATGATCATTATCTAAATGAACAACAACAACAATAAATTGTTCTTGTTTTTTCTTTTTATATGTATTAAAAAACAAACATTTGTTATACAAATATTGTTTTTTTTTTGTTTAGAACTTTAAAAAAACAATAAAATCAAATCCTTGATTTTGTTTGTCTTTTAATACATATAAAAAGAAAAAACAAGAACAATTTATTGTTGTTGTTGTTCATTTAGATAATGATCATTATGACATAATTAAATTATTTTTATAATAAATGAAAGAGAACATATTAATTTTTGATAATCTAGTGATTTCAAAAATTTTATAGTTCTCAAAAATATTTATTGTTATTGTTTTACCTCCTTATAGAATTAATAGGGAAATTATGTATAATTTCTCCTATATTCTTATAAGAGGATTAAACAATAATCTAATGATTACAAAAAATTAGAAATTTTTTTATAATCTATAATTTTTTAAGATGCCAAGAGATTAAAATCAAAAAATAAAATATTTTTGATTTTCTTGGCATTAATATATTTTTTTATGTTTCATAATGATCATTATCTAAATAAACACCCCCCTCCCCCTCCTCCTCCAACAACAACAACAACAACAACAACAATAAATTGTTCTTGTTCTTGTTTTTTCCTAATGGTGGAAAATACTCAAAATTATTATTTTGATGTATTTTCAGAATATCAAAAGATAAAAACTTTATTTTTTAGATATTCAAAGAAAAGGATAAATATAAATATTTATCTCTTTTCTTAAAAAATAGAAAAACAACTTGTTTTTTCTATTTTTAAAATAAATTTAATTTAAATTTAATTTGAAATAATAATAATAAGAGATAATAAAATTATCCTTATTATTTTTATTTCTAAAAATAGATTTATTAGATAGAAATTAGCTCGCTACGCAAGCTTTTAACCCGGAGGGTAATTTCTATCAATAAACTATTTTTTAAGAAAAGAGATAAATATTTATATTTATCCTTTTCTTTGAATATCTAAAAAATAAAGTTTTTATTTTTTGATATTCTGAAAATACATCAAAATAATAATTTTGAGTATTTTCCACCATTAGGAAAAAACAAGAACAAGAACAATTTATTGTTGTTGTTGTTGTTGTTGTTGGAGGAGGAGGGGGAGGGGGGTGTTTATTTAGATAATGATCATTATGAAACATAAAAAAATATATTAATGCCAAGAAAATCAAAAATATTTTATTTTTTGATTTTAATCTCTTGGCATCTTAAAAAATTATAGATTATAAAAAAATTTCTAATTTTTTGTAATCATTAGATTATTGTTTAATCCTCATAAAATAGGAGTAGGATTTCTATTACTACCTCTAAAATATTCATTTAATAAATTAAATACATCTTGTGGATTTTCAATGAATTTTGAAATTAATTCTACAAAATTATTACTATTTTCATTTAGAGAATTAATTTTGAAGTTTCCATCTGGTAGAGGACTACTAGATCTTTCAATAGAGTGATAATACATTCTTTCATACGTTTCTCTCATTTTTTTTTTCTTCATAGTTATGATTCATTATTTCACCTAATCCATAAGTAGCAAAACCACCAATAGTACCAACAACACCTAAAAACAATCCATTTCTAGGATTTGTTTTTGCAATTTTAACTGCAGCAGTTATTGTTGTTCCAGAAATAATTCCCGCAGCAACTCCAGGAGAAGTAATTAGCTTATCATTATTAGAATTACTATTTGATGGATGATTATTTGACCCTACACCTCCATCTCTAAAATTAACATTAAAAGTATTTTTTGATGAAGGATTTGTATTAGATGAATTAGGGGCAGAACTTATATAAATTAATAAACCTAGTAATACTAAACCTAAAGAGCCTGTAAAAATGTTAGAAAGATTATCATTTATGAAGTGAATAAATTCTATAAAATAAAGATGAATAGAATCAACTAGAATATTAGGAATTAAAAATACAGATGCAATCTAAAATGATTTTTATCTATAGAATAGTAATACTTATGTTTAATAAACTTAATAATGGATAGAATATTATTCTCTAATAAAGAATAATAAGTTTGTAATAATCTATTACATCCATAAATAAGTATTTTAAACCAATAACTAGAAATAACCCAAACGAAGTTTAAAGTTAATCGCAGGATACGAAGGGGGAATAGGGCGATTGCTAAAATTTTTAAAAGACATTTTTGTAAACATTTTTTTAATAAATTAATATAATTAGATAGCATCAATTAAATAATACTATCTTTTTAAAAAATAAAGACATTTAGTTTCTCATTAAATAATGATACTTATAGAATCCACCTCAAAAAGGTATGTCTGAATAAGATCCTACTATCTAGAAGGAAAGAAGTATGTTTGTTTTCTTTCCTTCTAAAGGAGGATATGTAAATAACTGTTTCGTGTTAAACCCATTACCCCCTGTTGCGTGCATGCGGTTGTGATCCCAAGAAGCACTGGCAAACATTTTGGCTACAAAATCTACATGATCGCCTGTCAAGGCAATTGACTGACAACGACTCAGAAGACGCAGAACAGGAAGAGCCTGAGGACGTCGAACAGGAGGGCGGGCATGAATTACAAGAGAACACCAATGAGTCTGACTTGTTGTATCGTACAACAACACCGATGGGATTGCCAAACATATTACGCTCAGACGTCAATGCAAAGTTATTTCATGATACAGTCATCAGCAAAGCTAAAGCAATCACGACAAACATTTCAAATCTCAGCACCATTGTCACTGCAACCATGTGTAAGCTGGCAAAAGATGACATTGTTCTCCATCAAGACGGGAGTGTTTGAATCACGCCTGCCTTGACGAAACTCGATTTGCAGATGCTTCTACCCAACGAATACAAGATGAAAAACAAGACTGCACTAGACCAACAGCGTGAAATTTGTGTACCTATGGTCAATCAAGATTTAAAAGTGCTTAAAGAGGAAGAAAATGGTTCCAGATCGCCTCATCAACGTGATATCGAAGGGCTGTTATCAAAACGACATCTGTACTATCTGAATTCGCACCACTTTGGGACAAAAACTAAGACGACTACCGACACTATTCACCCTATATGGCATACCCTTTGTTTCAAGAACCCCGGCTTGCCAGCAGCACCATCAGGCTTGTCAAGAACGATCGAGGCGTCGATAAACGAGTACAGCACCAACCTCAACAACATATGGGCGAGTGATAAGATTTTTAAAGCAGCCCTACATCATCTGACATTGGATCTGTTGCGCATCAACTTGGCGACAAAAAAAGAGAAGGAGAACGTCGGAAAGGCCGAAAACTTGTCAAGGATGCGTGGGAGCGTGAGGAAAAAAACAGAAATACACCAATCAAGTATACTATCCAACAACTGCGGTCTAAGCAACGCCACGAGTGCCGGCAGATAGCGAGGCACCTACGATTAGAAAGTCAATATCCAGAACAAACAGAAAAATTTGCTCAACGAATCAAAGCATGTATGCATCGGTTAGACAAGATCGTCACCCAGTTGAAGGAGAAGGTATGTTTCTTTTGAAATGGACTGTATGTAGAGTGAATTCTACCAGCAGGTGTATCCTAATATCGCCATTATTGAGTTGCTTTATAGAAAGCCCCTGTTGGAGAAAGCATTGAACCAGAGGAGGAGGAGGGACCTCGAATAAAAGATGACCAAACCAGCCTTGCTTTTGGTGATGAGGTAAAGCTTGCTTTCTATGTTACACACTCTACTCAAACCCTCTTCATGATTTTCCAAGTTTATATGTCAGAGACTCTAACTAAACATGTGGTTATTAGACTGTTGACTATATTGAAGATGAAGATGATGACAGTGTTGCTTCTAGTAACGACGAGATTGAACTTGAAGAGGTTGGATTTTCTCTCTAAATTAGCTTTCATTATCCCTTGTTATAGCGCTTATCTGATATCTACTGTTTATCTACGCGTTCGCTACCTGTCGTTGACGAAAACGGAACCATCCAATTGGGCAATCTGGTTACTACTATGGCTGACCGTGAAGCTGCGCATGAAGATGAAACTCAAGATATGGAACTGTCGCAACAAGAAGCACAAGTTGATGAACTGTCTGAACAACAAAGAACCCAAGATAGCACACCCAACGAGCAGAAGACATCTTATTCGCGTATCAAGTCGTTGCAAGGTCTACTGAAAGCGTTATTACGTTCACCGAGTATACCACGAGACCGAGACGTAGAAGAAACTCAAATCACGGAGTTCACACGAATGAAAAGCCTTGCTGCATGGGAGGTCGCAGCTGTGCAAAAGATTGCCAACGCACTTTTACCATTCACGCCCGACGACGAAACCCGATGCTTCATGACAGAGCTTCCATTCGTAGTCTTATCAAATACGATTCTATCTGCTATTGGCTACAAAGACCATATTGTCGCTATTCATCCTGATGTTGCACCTCACAATATCCACGTGCAGGCATTGACACCAGCAATCATGTACGAGATTTTGACACCTCATAATCGTGGACGGGCTCAAGGTCAATATCAAGTGCTAGATGACCAGAACAATCCCATTAGATCGTGTGAACGAGCTCGAGATAACCCCGATGCTATGCTATGGTCCTTCTTCGATCAGTCTCGTGTTGAATCACTAGCGGACCGACATCGCATGGAATTCTATAATCGCATTATCGTACGACCAGACAAGACCGTATCTATCGTTGGAATCATGAAGGAAGCGACGAAAGAAGGGAGGTCGGTCAGGAGCGTCAGCAACCATTGGGACGACCGATAAGACGCATGAACAGTTACAAGCTGATGAAGAGCGGGCAACATCGAGCATAAAAGAGCTACAAAGAAGACATGGTGTTCTAAGGAAAAAATACCAACAAACCGCCAAGGAACGCAAAATAGCCAAAAATCGTTTTCAGTTTGCAACCAAACATGAAAGAATCGAAGCAAGTACCGCACTATCGATACGTGTGCGTGAAAATCGGCAAGCTAGGCTCGCTATGCTGCTTAATCATCGTGATTTGAAGAATGAAAAGAGTCGTAGATACAAGACCCAGAAGGTAATATTATCCTCTCTAAACTTCTTGAGCACATGTACTGGTTGTTAATTGATACGTTCCCATTATTGTAGTTTATCGAGCAGGCGAAAAACAACAAGAAAGACAATGCCGCTGCAACTACTGTCCCAGCAATAATACCGACTGTGCAAAAGCCCTAGTGCGAAGATACAGCTGCTAATATTGATCTGTCAAATTATTGCCCATTGGGTCAAGTCTACGGTGGTACAGACTACGGTCATGTTATAATGTCCCAGACAACAGCCTTAACCAAACAAGATGTTCTTTTCCACGTCTCTCTCTACAACGCGCAGCAAATTTATCGGCAGCAGCCAAGATTAGCCGAAGCAGGCTCGCTTGGAGCAAATGTATCAATCAACCAAGCGTCCGACACGTCTTCACCCTCTGCAATCCCGCGACACGATGCCACAGAAGCAAATATGAAGAGGGAAGGCATGGATTTAGAACCACCACCTCCAGCGAAGCGCCAGACGACCTTTGATTTAAAAAATGCTGTCGGAAGTTCTGAATTGCACCTACAAGAACAGAGTGACGCCAAGCGGGAAGGATCTACATTTGAAGAGCAACAACCACCAGCAAAGCGGCAGTGTTTGCATAGTGATGCTACAACATCTCATTAAAGCCCGCCACCGCATATATCAAAAAAGGAAGCAATACATTCCAGCTGGGTCTTGAACCATGTTGAAAACGGATCCATCACAATGAGCACAAAGGACGTATACGGATGTCACGACAGAATATTCAGCAGATGCGGATTCTGTTGGACCGTGAGATGAAAGCTTCACCGCAGCAAGAGCATCAGGACCAGCGTCAGGACCAGCAGCTACAACAACAGCAGCAATATATTGATCTTGAAACGCTTACAGTCAGAAACCTAAAACAACCCAAGCCATTCACAATCACACACGAACAGATTCATGAAGCGACGAAAACAAAAAAGTTCATGGTGAGGCAGGAGAACCGGCTGAAGAAGGTATGTTCATGTAAAATTGTTGTACGCATACGTGACAGTTTACATACTTAGCTTATCTTGCTTTAATGTTTAGAACTACATTGATATACAGCGGAATGCTCTCCACGACTTACAGCAAAACTGCTTCGTTGGCATCTGCGATCCAGCGGAAATCTTCAAAAGGCAAAAAGTCAGGCTACAGCATGTCGACGTTCTACGCAAGTTTTATTATTCCAACGCTGCCTCAATGAACACCGTCACCGCGAAATTGTTACAAGTCGTCTTTATACGCAACTTGCGACAAAGGAACGCCAATACGTCAGAAGCACAACTTCGAAAAAGCTAGGAATCCCATCCAAAAACCTGCGTCCTGTCATGTGTGTTGGCCTTGCCGGCACAGGCGTAGGCTCCCATCTACGTGGGCGACCTCGGCGCGGCGGCCGCAAGATGCGCAATGAACATAGAATTTGTTGTCCGGTGGTATTGCAGAATGAATATCGAACTAGTCAAACCTGTCTCTTCTGCTTTTGTCCACTAGTGATGGCAACGGCAACCAAGGCTACAAAAAACGGTAAAATCAAGTCAGTGAAGGTCCATGGCGCTCTCCAATGTGTCAACCGGGATTGCCCTGCGGTGCGTGTCGGGTACACTACTTTTAGTCGTGATTCTCTCTCGAGTACGGCCATGATCATCGCTGCTGTTACCCAGTTATTCTCCCCTACCAAGTCACCTCTTCCCCCTTTCGATCCTACCAACCCAACACAAGCAAGTTTTACATTTTCACCTGCCTTTTTGCAGCATCCATCATATCATCTTTAGAAATGGTGCGCTTGTTGCTTCCATGGTTTTTCCTGGACCTGTTTATTGCGCGCTCCCCTTCTTCCCCCAAACATCGTTTGAGTGCCAATAAATTATTGTTCTCTCCTCAATTTTTTTTTTCCGTAAATAAGCATGGCCACATTCATGAAACGGCCAAACGATGACACAGAGTCCTTTGCACTCTCATCACACACCAGCTTCAAATCAGACCTGCCGACGCCCCCAGAAAAACGTCGATTCTTTGAAAGCAGTAACAACAATTTAACAGGAGCAACCATTTTATTACCTTCACAACAATTAGAACACCATTATTCATTGCTACCACAAGCCTCTCCAACCATTTCGTCTAAAGTAAGCAACAAAAAATAAGAATGAAAACTAAAAGAAAGCCAATAACTAGCATTGAAGTATGCTTAATCAGTCGTGTTAATACATGAATAGGAGCAATCGCTTACAACGCCACCAACGAGTCCGTTAAAGACGCATCCGAAACAATCAAAAGCCTACAGTACAACGAATTCAGTAGACTCTGAAGAATGGCGACTGTTAGGTTAGCTTCACGAACAAGCAATAGTGACTAATTCGATTTAATAAAAAAAGCCAATTGAGAAATAACAATCTATTTAAACACTTAGAACGACCACCGTCGGGTGCATCTCCAGAAGAGTACAGCAAGTTCATTCCTGTCAATATGGTAGAGCCTGTACGAATGAGCCAATTAATGATATGGTCAGCATATGGAGCAATGCAAAAAAAGAAGGTCACTTTTGGTAGAGGCACTGCAAACGAACAAAAGGCAGATCGGATAGGTGAGTTATTCTTAGCTTGGGACTAGAGAACTTTTTTTATTCCGTGTTCACGTCGAAGCTTTTTGGCTGATCAGCGTATTTTCTGTCTGGAAATCAAAGCTTCTGATATTCAGACTCGGATCCTTAAAGGACTGGTAAAAGGAGAGATCAACACATCGATTTACGCATATAAACCATCCCGTTTCACGCTGAATAGCGTTAAGAAAAATGCAAATCCACGGAATGACATCAATCGACAACGTATAAGAGACTTTAAAGAAGCGTTATCGAGGTAAAAATATAAAAATCAAGAGAAAGACAACTAGTAGTATGTGCAAGGCTGATACTGACAGCAATGCGCCTACTATAAAAATACAGCTTAGAAACAGAAGATTACGAATGGCGAGAAGTCACCAGCAAGCTATTTCAGCAACATGCTGCAATGCTCGATGAAGCGTCTCGATCCTCATTGGAAACAGAAACAACGATAACCACAACATCAACAACAACGGCAGCGGCAGCAACCAAAGAACCTATACCCATACCCATTACTCAACATCTGCTGGACGGATTGGATGACAACGAAAAACAGTTTCTGGATACTTATTGTCGAGAAGGGACCGACAGTGACACCGACTTAACCATTGAACCTCGCATAAAGTCATCGGACATGGTGGTGGAAGTTACGGAACTGCGTCAACGATTGTCAGTCGTCAAAGAATTCCAAAAGAGCGTCGAAAAGTTATGTAGAGATACAATGGCAGGGATCGCCCGTAATATGCAGCGAGGAGCGTTAGCAGTACCTGCTGAAAAAGCATCCCTCGCAAAAGCAGTAGCACAAGAGAAAGCACTTGAAGACATAGGAAAAGAGACTAGCAAAGATATTTTAAGGATGCTTTCTCGATATACGGCCAACAACATAAATAAATGAAACAATGCGCGTTCCTGCAAAGAAGACTTCGTCGAAATTAATTGCTCCGACAGCGCGTAAACGAAGCGCGGGGCGCGTTTTTTCTTGTAGTCTTTGATTCCTTTTCTATTACCTTTACCGATAATGATATACGGACGACAAAAGTCAGAAAAAGACGACACAAATGTACCTCTTTTTAAAAATGTCAAATATTATCTCCACAAGACGTTGAGTCTCAGAAAGCAACGCGAGGTAAAATAGACTTTTTTTTATTTTCCTTACTTTGGAAAGATCAAGTGAATGTCATTCAATTCTCGCGAGTTTCAAGCTTACATTTCCGTGCTCTCCGTGTTGTCCATTGTAAATAAATATATAGCTTGAAAACAAGCTACAAGAACATAATGCTCAAAAAGCAGAAAACGAGCAAGATGCGACTCACATAATTGCAACAAAGCAAATTGAGCTGGCAAAAGAGCATGAAAACGAACCGCCTTTCATTGTTACGGTAATGCCACATTTCACACACCCTAGAGAAAGGGTTGTGTGCTTGAGCACATGCATAGAAACAATAGCAATTCTTGGGTACCAAAACTAATGCACTTGAATCTAAACACGAAAAAACACAGCCTGCATGGGTTGAAAAAGCAGAAAAGAACAAGTTTGTACACGACGCGCAATACTACTCGACTGATCCGTCGTTTATCTTTTCGGGCATGGTCCTAACGGCAATTGATGTAATATGTAGTCATGTATTGGTTTTTTATTTCGAGAGTTTTCTAACATGCATAATCTCTTGGGGGGATGCATTGGGTTGGCGTGGAACAGGTACCGGTAAATGATGCTGTGGTCTTTTGTGCTTCAATGCAACAACTGGGAGGGCAATATTTGGAAAAATACTCGCCAGAAACCACGCATCTCGTTACTTCATCAGCAAGATCGGTAAGCATCCAGTAATCGTTTGCTAACTTGGACAAGTCTTCCCTACCATATGCACGTATTTATCCGCTTTGATTATAGAAAACGGTGAGAGATGCTCTCGTAAATGGAGCGTTTGTCGTTACACCACATTTCATTCAAGAGTGTATCAAATTTCGGCGACGTGTTCGCGAGGTAAAAAAAAAATGGGATGATTTGATGATTGTCCCCCCCCCCTTACCGGCTTACCCAACGGCTTGTAAGATGACCGAGTGCTAAATTAAATCGCTTGTCTGTAATCTATTCGATAGGATCCATATCAATATACATGCGCAGCTCCTGAGGATCCCTCAGCAATGGTGAACGAGCCAGCTCACATGGATACATTTGAAAAAAATCTGGAAAGAGAAGTGGTCGATACGAAAAAGGCAGAGAAGCAGTTATACCAACCCATCAACAAAGATTCGCACCCCATCTTTCCTCCATACGATTCCAAGTTCAACAAGCAGAAGGGCTACGTCATTGACACTGGCAAGACCCCGCAACTTTACATGTCTGGTGAATGTCTCTATGTTGAGCCAGACCTCATCCCGGAAGTAGAGCTACTGGATAGCTGGCTGGATTATCTGAAAAAGGCTGGTGCTACAATCGCAAGCGAGTATAACAAGGATCAAGTTACGACCGTTGTTGTCAAGGATCGCTCGACTCCGGTCTATAAACAAGCTTCCAAGGATGGCAAAGTTGTAGCTTCGACATGGTGGTTGACTAACACAATCATGCGTGGCGAGAAACATGCACCGACCAGCACCTTGGTGGATTATCCAATGCCTAGAGGAGGTATTCCGGGAAGTCAAGCTGTGGTATGCTTAACATGTTCGCTAAATGTGATCTTTGTCTAAGAACCTTGTAACATAGCTACTAAGTTTTCATTTTTCTTTTTGACAGATTGTTACGATAACCGGATATAGAGACACGGCAAGAGACTATTTGAGACGACTTGCTATTCACTGCGGTATGGACGTACACAATGGTTTGGCAAGAGACACGACGCATTTAGTCTGCATTAGGTATTTGCTTCCAAATACATATATGAAATGGAACAATGAGCTGCATGAGAGAGAGAGAAAAAAGGTAGCATGGGATTCTCAACAATTATTTATATGATAGCCAAGATTCAGCCAAATGGAGACCTGCCAAAAACATGAACATTCCTGTTGTGAATCATATTTGGCTCGAGGAGTGTTTTAGAGACTGGACGATCTATCCTACCAGCGATACCCGCTTTATCCATCTTCCCGCCAGTAGCGTGCTACGCACTTTGGTGGGAAAAACTGAAATTGATCTGGAGTTCATGTCTCGCTGGTGGAAGGGCCACCAACCAGAGCAATCCCACCTTCTACTTGTTAAAAAAGATGCAGAAGAACATGGGCCACAACAAAGTCGTCGTGAGGCTGCCAAAAAGGCTGGTGGTATGAACAATCGCGCTGCCAGGGATATGAACAATTTCGAACGTGAAAACCGGGCAAAACGAACTCAAGGACCGCGACAAAAAGTGACAGCAGTAGAAATGGAAGACCACGGGATTGAAGATAAAGATAGTACCAACGAGCAAAAAGAAAAACACTTGAGCGCTAGTGATGATGGAGCAGAAAAATCGACGTCCACCGAGGAATTATCCACTAAGAGTGTGCAACGCCACAAACGTCGAAACGGCGACGACGACAATGGCGGTGAACAACAAATTGCGACCAGCGATACCGATGCGCAACACAGCGACGGCGCTTCAAATGCTTGTGGACAAAGAAGTATCAAACGTCAAAAGAGCAATAAGAGCAAGGACGAGGAAGAAACAGTAAAGGACAAAGACACCGAAAAGCAAAAATCGCCAAGTCCAGCGCCGGAAGAACCATCGTCTTCACGTCGTTCCCGAAGTCGAAGTAGCGAAAAAGAACCTGCGAAAAGATCACGAAAAAGCACAGGCAAGAAAATCATTGAGGAGTTAATAGAATCATCACAAGCGATCAAAACACCTGAAAGACGAAAAGTCCTTTTCACCGGTTTCATGAAAGGACCTAAAGAAACCATTGCAAATGTCAGTACTTGTCGTTTGTCTTTACTTTGTGCGAATTCGATCCTTAACACTTCCTTATGTACTTCTACTATACATATATATAGCGTATCCAAAAAAAGCTCGGCGCTGACTCTGTCGAGGATGTTGAAAAGGCAGACTGCGTTGTCGCTGGGAACAAGATGGTACGGACGCCTAATTGTCTATCTGCCATCAACTTGGGTCTCCCAGTAGTCACCGAGGACTGGGTGAACGACTCACTCAAAGCCGGCGAGTTACTCGATACCGAAGAATACGTCGTCAGTGACCCGGAGAAAGAAGAAAAGTACTGCTTTAACCTTAGGGAGTCGTTAGAAATTGCACGGGAAAACCGTAAAACGGTAGATAGAGGACACATTAGAGGCACATTGCTCGAAGGATATAATGTGTTTTCTGTGTCGAGTGACAAAGAAACACGTAAAAGCCTAAGGCAAATCGTCAAATGCGCTGGAGGCGAGGTAAGTAGCATATCCAAAGGGAAAGCGGAGAGGGATGAGAAAAAGAAATCTAATTCGTTTTGGAAATGGATAGTTTGTTGAAAAGGAAGCGGATTTGGATCCATCAAATACCGACGTTACATGGCTTGTGATATCCGATCCAGACAAGAAGGGCGAGCAGGCGAAACGACAAGCATTGAAAAAGAAAGGCTTTACCATTTACGATATGGAAATGATCCTCACTGGAACTCTGCAGCAAAAACTTGATCTGCAAAGGATAATTTAAAATATGTTGAATGTTTAAGTAATCGTGTCTATCTCCTTGGTCACCTTGATGATCTTGTGGGTAGCAGACATGTCTGTAATATATGTAATATAGGAAAAATTTCAAGATAAATAAGAGGGTGCTGCTTTGTCTATGTCTACAATCCAAGGACCAGGTATCGGCGTACTGTTCTGGGATCGCTACACCACCAGAACTTTAATATACAAGATGCTGGAGATGATAACCGATCTTAATTGTACAGCAGTAAACGCTCGTGATTCCATAGCGTGAATTCCTAAATCGTTTGTGAAAGCAGTATGGGTTGAAAGTTTGTGAGAACAACTTACTAGTGCTCCCCGCTATTCTTGTTTGTTTGACAGCACCCAAAACTTTGAGGGTTGAAAGTCAACGAGTGTGAAATTAAAGGGGGTGGACTGTAAATAATGCCCAAATACCAGCAATCAAGCGTCGTCGTCTTTTCTTCTACAACCTTATTATCATCATTGCCGAGGGAAAATACTGCTCTGTATTGACATCTTTTTTGTTGCTACTAACACGCTTGGGTATCACATCGAGTTTATCGCCGGAACTATCAGCAGCTTATCATCATTACACGTTTACCCTCTCGCAAAAACAAAAATCTAATGAATACAGCAGCAGCAACAATAATCAAGTTTTCTTAACAGCCAGACAATACGAAGCGATATCGCTCTTTTGATATATATCCCGTCTGTAGAATAGAACCTAGATCGGAGATATTGTAATGGCATTATGCATTTTATCGGATACAGATATCTCCCTCCATATATAATGCTTGTAGAGACGCTTGAAAAATCGTGTAGTACCCCCCATCGTGTACGACCGGTATAAGATGGATACGTAGAATAACAGTCAATACACGATTACACACTGGTAGTGCGTATCGCATTTCGATTGGTACCTTAATCTTTTACACTGCCGGATCGTATAAAAACTACGCATTTCAAGGCTTTTACATGGAACAAAGTGCTGCAGAATTTGACCCTACCCTCAATTGCTATGTCCAGAATCCGAAGCAATTACCCTATTTACAACTTTTCGGTGAGTGTCATTCTCGATGCATTCATTATCACCTTCCGTGCTGCGGGTATCGCAACATATGCCAACATGAAGCTGTGGCCGTTGTCAACGATGTGACTTTCAAGGCCGTCAAGGACATTGGCACAGAAAAACGTTACCTATGTTCATCTATTCTTTATTTCACTGAAATTAGGAGGCATGCCCTGGTATTCCAAGCTGTGATAGGAGGATTAACCGAGATGTATTTCCATCAGTATTTCCTGGCATTTTTTCCTGCTTATCATATCGACTTGTCCGCAGAATCGCTCTGGGTGGCCAGCCATTGCATGTGCTCCAGTACAGGGATGTGACAACAGCTCGTGTGGCAAATCACACACTCGCCACCAACCTCCGCCTACGGTCGCAAAGTGCCCGGTTCCAAAAGGAGATCAATTGGGTATACTTGGGGTGCCTCTACACAAAGGAGGCGCTTGTTACAGAGGGCCTCGCCTGTACCCAATTCATCCAGAAGCACTTGGGTGCCAGTGAGTAGAAGATGAATATTTTTTTCAAAGATGCTAAAACCAACAGCTGACGGTATTACAACCTTTATAGTGGGCCGCAATGATGTCAAGAACGTGGCCAAGGGTATTCTTGGTGTACTTCGTCTCCTTCACCTTGCAGCAAAGACAACACCACTGGTCTTTGCTTTCCCTAAGGCATTCAACAGCCGTACCTTTAGCAAGGTAGCACTTTTTATTCAAAACAGGTTTTAACACATACTCATATTTCTTACTGCTCTATAGGTGAAGGAGGGCGATGTTGCAAAGCTCACAGACTCTCTTGTAGAGGTTGTGAACTCACAGCAATCACGAATTTTCCTGCGGCACAAAGGAAAGAATTCATTACCGCATATCGCCAATATACGTGCGGACGAGCGGATGGCATCAAGTACTTGAAGGGATGTTATATGCACTGGATGCAATCGGTGCAACGTGTGTAGCACCAATGGGAGCGATGTCTTGCGTGAAGATAGATCACGTTTCCTGCAATTGACTCAAGTTCTCAGAACCACCGAAAGTGAACAGCAATTCAACAATGCGCGGGACGAGATTATTCGTAGATTTCCTGCTCTACGTAGATGGATCCGCTGGTGGCTAATTGCAGAAGTGAGCAGCATGATTTTCAAGCGTAATTCAAGCATGAAACCTTCTCTACAGAATCATGTTTCAAGAACGTCGAATGCAATCGAATCGTATCACAATGTGCTTTATGGCGTCATTTTGAAAAATGCGCCTCTATCCACAAGCTTGCCGCAGATTTTGCAAACAGCACGAAGTGACGAAAGAGATCTGCTGCAGTTTTATGATTACGGAGGTCTGCGTCCGTCATATAACCGAAAGGCAGCGCAATCGCGGACCAGACGGCTCAAGAAGTACGTAAACGATTGCCGCGCACCAGACACGACAGAGAAGCTACATGCTAGCAAGAGTGATGATGAAGAGCAGAATGACGGCATAAAAGACATGTCACGCCTAGAATTATCAGCCATTACCAAAGCACAGCAAATTACTGGGGATGATTCTATCAACATTGTCGCATCAGATACCAATCCGTTATCGCACTATCACGAATCAGCTCGCGAGCCTTTGGATGCCTCTGATCCAGCAATCGAATTGGAAATGAAGCGCTTTGAGTACATCGATTTGCCTGATGTGCAAGAAACACAAGCAACACCGATCGGCAATGACCCACGTACGGACCCGGATATAGAATTTTCGGATGATCTGTATACAGACATACTTGACGAGATCAGGAACACAAGTATCCAAACCGATCGACCTGAAGAACGAGATACAGTTGATGGGTTTTGACGATGCGGATCATGTACCTACACCCAGAAGTGATATGGCGTCACTACGATCCCCGAGCGACGGATAAGACCTTGAATTAAATCAAAGCCAGGATATGTCATGCTACATCGATACATTCGTTGAAGTGCTCTGGCATTCAATACTGCCACATGTGGATATATATACCATCTCTTTACAAAGCGACCATTTATTCGACAAGACTCTGTCATACGCATATAACCTGGTGGAAAGAAGGATTCCGCATAGATGCATCGAATCAAGTGCGCAACTTTGTTTACCAATCGGTCACCCAGCTTTATCATGGACGTCGACCTTATGAACGAGGACTAATGTACGATGTTACCGATTTCGTTGCTGATTTCCTGGAACAAGCATTACAGCAGTTTTGTGATTTGTTCACTTTTCATTACGCTCGGTACAATATGTGCTTTCATGATAATGAGCACTGCTGGTTCATTGAAATAAAGCCCACGAGTATGCCTTGTTTGATAACGATTGTCCCAATAAGGTCGATAAATACGCTCTATCGACAACGTCAAAGAATTTCAAGAGGCGGTTACTGAATGGACATCATTATGAAGCCTAAAACCGAGGAACACGGCTTTAAATGCGAGAAAACAGCCTTGCAGTATATACTTCCACGAATGAAGACCTCATTCATTTGTATCGTTGATAAATTGGGTAGCATACCAAGCCGAGCTGATAACATCATATTCCCATATGAGATCCAGTTGTATATTCAGCAGTATGAATTGCATGCCAAGATACACTCGACAGCTTGTGATGGATTCCACTTGGAAAAGAATAGCAATCATTAACAATAACGGGAGACAGTTTTTCATGCATCTCCGGACAATTTGACATACACGGAAGATGAAAGTCAATTCAAACACCATTTCTCCCTTGTTAAAGACCTTTTATTGCATACATAGCATCCCCAGTGTCCCTTTGATATGTGAATATTAGGACCGAATGATTGCAGGTAATCGTTGGTTACTAAGAGTCTCCTTAATGGGGTCATGATATATTCTATATGCTAAAACCATCGGCATAAAGCTTGGATGATTTGTTACTTCACCATGTATGTCATCCGTATGTTCGAAAACGTTTATATGTGGAGATAAAAAAGAGGCCTTTTAAAGGTCCTAGTAGTATTCCTGGGGAAGAACTTCTTTTTTTTCCAAAGAAAGACATAGAGACTTGATAAGCTTTTTGGGAGCAGCATGAAGTAAGATACGTTTATATTTGAGTGGTATTGATGACGGTAAAAGTATATAGTGGTGTAGGTAACAAGATGTAAATATAGTATGCTATGTGTGTAGTTCCATGTAATACTTGTATTTTACGGCGCGCTCGTTTCTTGGGGATCAGTACATTAACTGTAAACAGTGGTTGTGATGGTGTAGACAATGGTGATGGCGCCAGAGCAATTCTTTTAGGACTATTGCGACTAAAGCCTAGTGGTGATGCACCGAGAGAGTTTGGTGTTGATGATGAGATAGTTGTTGTTACTGATGACGGGTCAGCTACTGCTGTTGATGATGGTAACGAGTTCTGCAGATCTCCTTGTACTATGGATTGGAGGGCAAATGGAGGTGGTGACGGTGTGCTAGCAGGTTATGCCGAATATCCTCTGCTTGGTGCAGCAATTCTGCGTTCATCGTTTCACAAATGCCATCGCTGTTTGCTTTGCTAGCGCGTGCCAATCGTCTTTCATCCATCGCTCGTAATGCATTTTTAGATGGTCTGGTGTCTTGTAAAATACTGTTACTCCATCTACCGGCTTGGATGTGGATGCGTTCCAAAGCTTTGCCAATCTGGTCCACTCTGATGCATCGATTGTTCTTTGAGCTTGTCCGTGGATGATTTCTTGAAACTTTTCGAATTCCTGCTTCGTGTGGACAGGGGTAACAGCATGTTTTGTTCCTTGTTTTTTGTTTTTTTGGCAAGAAAGATATAGCGCTTATTCAAAGGAAATGGCCGTAGAACCGGGCGGTAAGAAGATGTTGATACTAATGTTGAGAGTATATGGCCGAGGTTCGAGCGTATCCAGCTGGTCGCGATGCTCTTCGTTGTTTCGTTCTTCTGCTGAAGACATGTCTATCCCAAGTGTGCGAGCAACGTCAGGTGCTGCAATACCAAATGTCTCGCAGCACTCTTTCAGCTCCAAGCCTTGGACATGGGCACGCGCTTACTCCTCAATAGCACTATCAGTGCCAAAAACCGAAAGCTTCATCCGTAAATATATCAATGCTTCAATCAACCATGGATCATAATGTCCCTTGTACTGACGTAAATATCGATTCATAGTGCCGACCTGATATATAAGGTATCTCAATATCAAAACAAATTGATTTCAGTGGATATCACCTTTTACCTTTAAGTTTTGACTTCGATACTCTGCAAGAAAGCAATCAGCCAAATGTGGTCCGGCACCGCTGGAACCATTCAGCACGGATAATGTTTTGATGGACTCCACCCTCTAGAGATTTAGTTCCACGGGCACACCAATAAAGGGGAAGATTTGCTATTTTGTCGTATCCAATTTTATAGTACAGCGGCATATCTGGATGATCAGAAACTTGGCCTTCATATATTGCCTTGAGCATGTTTTGGGCTTGACGGTGGGCGTTATTATCAAACAGTTTCCTTCCAATTCTGGTGTTACTGTATTCAGCAAAAAGATTTTGGACTTTAGAACCGAGCTCGTGTGATAATGGGACGAAACGTTTCACCCTTCGCATAACCCATCAAGATGGATTCGTGTTCAGCATGTATTCCCATGTAATGTTTTTGGTCGCTAGATATTGCTCCACTTTTTGCCGATCTTCTTGGCCCACAACAAAGATAGCGTTGCGTAGTTGCCGGGAGAATGCTTTTGCGAGAACGTGCCGTTTGGGTATCTTGATTAGCGCCATGAAATGTTAGATGTCTTTTAGGATGCTTGAATATACTGGTTGCTGCTGGGTGTCCTGCGCATGAATATTTGTGAAATTGAAGTTCGAAGAGTCGGAACACGGTATATTAAATGTGCTTTGTTCATTGGAGCTGTCATTAGTTTCGTGTGATCTTGACTCCTGGTCACTATCGTCTGGTATACTGTCGGTTATATAATGCGTATCATGCGTATCGTCGGGTATGTTGGCTTGTGATGGGTGATTGCCTTGATGCCGTGGTTGTTCTCTCCATAGACATAGCGACTTTTTTTGAAGCGTAGCATGAATATAGGTACTGTCACCGCAAACGGGAGGTCTCCAAAGTCCATAAGAGTTTTTTCAGTGTAAGAGTCAAGAATTGGCGCCAGGAACACAAGCGTGCTTGATCGATATATATGCCCTGTTGTCGTCGAATGTTATCTAGTAATTCATGAAGAGAAGCACATGTTAATGAATCATACGTAAATCGTAAAGTACCTGCTGCTCATTGTGTAATATCTCGCCATATGCAATTGGAAATGGACATTGAAGACGAGAATAAATAGCAACGTACTCGACCATGCGGAAAAGGGTTTAGTACGGGTTTACCCAGTGTACGAAAACACACAAGCTTTGTATATATCGTCAATGACGCCCACGCGTCCAGCGCTGCATAATACACTTGATTCTCGGAAAAATCTTGTGATTCCCAGTTGCTGTCTCTATCATTTTTTTTCGATCCTACCACCAAGTACTTCTCGGCAATCGTAGCTAGTCCTACATTTCCATTTTCAATGAAGCCTCGTCTACGAGAAAACTTGCCGAGCTTGGTAAGTGACCAGACAAACTTCACAGATGAGCAACGACACGCAGTAGACATGGATGTCGTTCTCGAGTGGGACATTAAGATAACTGTTTTTCTGGACACCCCTTCCCTTTTGTCCTGCTCTTTTCTGGGTTCCAGTGTTCCGATCACTCTAGCTGTGTGAGGAAAATATAGAGTAGATGCAATGCAGAGGTTACGACTAGCTCTTTTAACTATGTGAGCGCCAATTTCTGCCAGCATACGAACAACTTCGCCAACACTCGTGAACCGCGTTCTATCGTAATGCTGACTTGTCTTGCTGTTCTGGATCAAGCATACTCTATAGCGTCAAAGCAAACTACTAACACCCCAATGATTGTAGGTAACCATAGTCGTCCTGGTTCCGTGTAATAGTAATAAGATGCAGATGATAATTTTATTATGAAGAGCCCGTTTTTAATAAGTCCAAGAAATTGGATTTCGACATGGTGGAAACTAGTACAAAATATTTGAGTTAGATTGACTATCATTTCAAGGATCAACGCATAGTGAATGTGTGATGATTGAAAAAACCTTACCATTTCGTGCCTTTTCAATGGCTGATGACGCCTTGTGTTTTTCTGATACCTTTGTAACAGCTACCTCTGTTGCTTTTTGTTGTGTTCGGATTGCATTGAACAACTTGACCACTATTCGTAAGGGGAAATATTAGTAACCGTCCATCCGACCCCTCCTTCCCTTTCCTCTCTCATCATCTCGCAAGACCAAAAAAAAACCAGAAACATACCACCACGCGTAGCCACCTTTCTTAACCGTTTTTCATAATCAAATGATGTGTAATCTGGAATGACTCGACCTCGTTCTTTCTGTGCCTTCTTTTCAGCCGTCATCATCTTTCGCGCCTTATATTCCAACTTTTCATCCTCGATCTTTCGTTCTGTGCCCTTGGATCTAGCCATGATGGGTTGCTTCAAAACATCAAAACAAGGGTATTGATAAGTCTGTTAGCACTAGCTGTCATATAATAAAAAAAAGGCTATGGTAACGTCGCTATACATATGTGTATGGCATACCTTCTTATCCGAACCCTTCAAACTACTGGCCAAGATCTTTGTCATTGCTTCCGAGAATGCCTCGCTCGAGTTCTTTCCCTTTGCATTGCTGGACTTTTGTTCCTGGTCAAGATCGAATTCATCGTCTTGTTCTGTTTTCACAGAGAAAAAAAACACAAGGATTAAAAGGGTAAGTTATCCTCGTTCTTCAAGAAGAAATGCATCGTCGTTGTTGTAGTTGTTGTTGTCTATATTTACCCATAGGATCGTCGTTGCTATCGAGATCGTCGTCATCGTCTTCATCGTCAGCTTCGAGATCGAGATCGGATTCGTCAAACTGGTCCTCGTCTTCCTCTGAAAATTCCTCTTGCTTTTTTAATTTCTTTGTATCTTTGGCCATTGTATTTAATCGAGTGTTTCAAAGTGAAAGAAGAAAGAAAAAAAAAGCAAGGCCCGTGAGGGCGAAATTTTTTTTATTTTCGCATGAATCCGGCATCCGCCACTGTGCGCTTCATCCCCCAAGCTTTTTCAAAAAAAGAAAAACCACAGAGGAAAAAAGATAATGGAGATTGCTTATATTCACAGAGCGAGTATATATGTCTTCTATAGTATGCTGTGGGGATTACAAAGTGTGTGCGAGAGTATTATAGTATAAGCTAGAGATAGAATGTACAGATAGGGAAACAGAGACAAGTGGGAAGTATGTGAAGAACAATGTGTGTATGCGAGGGAGGTGGGGTAGGTTTAAGGGGGGCGGGGGTGACTGACTACTTTAACTTTTGATCTCGTTCAAACACCCACTGCAGTTCAACAATTTCACGCCACAGATTCGTTTCTTGACCAAAGGTATGATACACCGATTCCCGGGCTACGGCTATCCATGTACGCACACCGTTCTCATAGATGCGTTCCAGCTTGCGCCCAATACCTGCCAGCTCAAGCTGGACCAAGGAATTCCATGCTGAACGTGCGACAATCAGGCTGTGATAGGACAATGTCGGATGCAGTGTGGGATAGACCAATCGATACGTGACAAACAAGTAAAGGGCACATCGAGAAGCCTCGACCCAGCGGCTCTCACTGATCAGTCGCCGTAATAACTTGCGTGCAGCACGTAAGCTTTGCAGCGTAAAGGCAGGTACGCTGGGCACCTGACTGAGTGCGACTAACGCTGGAACCACGCGTCTGGCCGTCATGACTTTGCTTTCCTTGCCCAAGAAATGCAAGTCCTCGTTGCTGTGATGATGATGGTGATGACGCGGGGTCGTGACAGGTGCATAGATATCGGGTGCCATGATCCGGCTTGTGTAGTGCGTGTAGTTGGAAGCATCGAGGACACGGGGCGTGGCAATGGTTTGGTACGCCTTGACCATGTTGAGGACATTCCACGTCTGGCACTGTCGTTCCAATTCGGCCTCGTCATAGCCTGGTCGTGATTCCGGACTGGCGTCCAAAAGTTGGTCCAGGATAGCATAATCGCCGGTGCAGCGTGCACAGTGACACGCATAATCGGGTCCGAACCGTTGTGTAAGTTGCTGCATTCGCTCAGCTTTGGATTCGAGTAGGTCGACATAGCTCAATGTGATCGGCTCGCCAGCCGCTATATCATCCAATGCTACCAGGAGCTGAACACCCCGTTTGTAGACCGCTCCGGTGTTGGGCCGACACGAGTGGCGGACGTACAGGGATGTGATAGGATAGACACCGAGTGCAATGGTGTCCAGATATTGGTCGTGGTCGACAATTTCAAACGTGGATTTCTGTACCTTTTTCCACAGATCCTCCAGCTCGTCCTTGGTATAGTGACAGCCAAAAGGCTCCAGGGATTGAGCGACGGCGTCCAAGTCAACTTCTTTGGGTGATAATGATGATGATGATGATGTTGGTTGTGGTTGTGGTGATGATGATGATGATGCTGTTGTATTACTACTATCGTTATTATCTGCGGAAATCGGTGTTGATGGTGTGGGTGGTGGTGATGCTTGCTTTTTCGGAGACGAGGGTGGCGAGGAGAGCGAATGGAGTGCGTCGATGGCCAATGGCAGGTGTGGCGGAGAATGCGAATGATGCTTACTCAGGCGATTGTGACTGTGTAGCGTCAGAGCAGCCCGTTCCAGTAACCAGCGATCCGCGTCCACATCCACATAAATGTCGTATTCTTGAGGCTCGCACAAGACCCGATGGAATTGTAGCCAGGCGTTCCGGAAGCATTCGTTGCTGCAAAAGTAGGCCGATCGACACCGGGAGCAGCATTGCAAGGCGGCCTTTCGAAGACAATAGTTACACCGTTGGCCCCGGATCGTTGGCAACGGTACGCTGGCCAGCGCCTGCTGCTGCAGGACTGTTGTGCCGGGTTCAATGTGCTTTGTGGCAACAAGTACGCCGTCCTGGAGTGCGATCCCCTGATTGGCGAGGTAATCGTCCATTGACAAAAAGGTTGGAAGCAAAAAAAAAGAGAGCAAAGGAAAAGGGTAAAAAAAAAAAAGTGTGGCAGAAAGAGAGAAAAGTAGAGAGAGATAAGGTCCGAAAGGCAAAGCATTCCCCAATTCAGGCTTTTTCAAGTGGAGTCATCCAAATTAGGCACTATTTTCTCGCCGATCCAACAAGCACACCCAGCACCCATATCTGTCCCTCCGCTATTTGAATATTTTGACATGTTGAGCTGCTGCTGCTGCTGCTGCTGCTGGTGTGTGAGCCCCGGTTTCCCTTTCTCGTAGCTGCTCTCCCTGTCCTGTCTTGCTCCTTTTTTTTTTAATCCACCACCTTGCTCGATGTAGAGCGTGCGTCCGTGTGAGTGTCTTTGCGTCTCTCTCTCGTTCTCTTCTTCTTCTTCTTCTTCTTCTTCTCCCTCTCTTTCTCTCTTTTCCACTTCTTTACACTCACCTTTTATATATCTCTTCATGGCATGATGCAGGAAAATGAAGGTAGGCAATATCATTTCTGCTCGCGTGAACACTGTGATGGCCAGTAATAATAATAACAGCAATGTCATCATCATTGACGAAACAGAACGACCCTGTTATGACCGAGGCAATGGGTCGCCATTCTGCTCACCGATAGTCTCGGATACATGGTACAATGGATCCTACTATCAGTTCGTGTGGAATTACAAGTAAGCCAGATGATGCGCGGGGACCTATGTAGCGCTATGCATGTTAATAACTGCAAATCTTTTATTCATCGTTTCCTCTGTCAGTTACCCATACTACGTTTCATCAGTATGTAGCAGCACATCAATCACTAGTTTGACGGGACCAACTTTGCATAACTGCAATACAGTGTACATTAACGTCATCGAGTCTATGTATTTTTCCGATCCGCAATACTTTCTATAGGAGTACATCAATCTCTTTCTGTATTACAAGGAGAACTATGCGTTCCAACCAATCAAGAACTGGACAAACGTGCACCGTGCGGACGGACAACTTGCTGTGCAAGTCGACGACTCGTGGTTCCCTGAACTGCTTGAGCCCGCAGGCGCACCTAACAAGACATGGTCCATGTATGGATTGTATTTACCTGCAGGCATGGATCCGGCCGCTGAACTGACAAATCCGAAAAGTCAATACCCACGACCCTTTAACTTTTCCGTCGTCCGTGAGTTCTTTTTTTTTTCTGTTTCTACATAACTTTCATTACATGTCGATCAAAATAACCAGATGTACTAAAAAAAGATAAAAAATAAACGTCTCATGGGTTCCCGGGGGTGGCTCCTTAAAAAAATCTCTTTTTGTAGAGCCTTCTTACCCTTCAAACCATCCAGCATTGCATCCAGGCCAAGATTTAGGCAACGCCCTTCCCGGCTGGGCCGTGGCTGTCATTGTTCTGGGCGCACTCACAGCAGCGGCCGCGGTTATTGCTGGATGTCTGATTGTTCGACGTCGTAAAAAACCATCGATATCCGACGCTACTATGGTTGTTGTTCCGGCACCTTGTGCTGCTACTGGTGGTGGTGGTGGTGGTGGGACGCATACCACAAAGTCCATCATGATGATGACAGAAACCGATTCTTCGATCTACTCGACAACCCCTATCATGAATAGTAATACCGTCGCCTATAATAACAGCAGCGAGTCTCCTCGTTTATCATCCAGCCAGTATTGCTACTACCAACACGCGAACAACTCTTCCTTGCGTCGCTCTTCGTCAGGCATGATGGTACCACCTAATGGTGGCACGACTCGCAACTCTTTCGATGATTCAACTAGCAGCCGCAGGCTGGCTGATAGTACGTTCATGTGGATGGTCAACAACGAACAGCAACAACCTAGTGACGACGTAGCAGTAGGAGACGATGAGCAGCGACGGAGAAGACTGGGTGAAGCGTTACTGGCACAGCAACTATTAGAGGAGGAAGGAGCATCAGTGAAACACGCTGAACGACGGCCTGTTACTGTTCAAAGCATTTCGGGCCAAGAGAGCCATGCCGTCTTTGAAGAACGTTAAACTTACTCTAATTATCTTTTCACATACTCTATATTACACATTCTTGCATCAACATTATTACCAACCAACGAGTCAACCCCCTTTAAACAAGCAGCGTACATAGAACCCGCCCCTTACCATACCCAGAGTCCTATATTAGTATTCTTTTGAAATCCCTTTCCATGCACACACACAAACAGTGTCTCTCTCTCTCTCTCTCTCTCTACCATTACTAGTTTGGCCACTCCTTATTCTTGCCTTTTTTTTTGCTTTCCTCTTTTTTATACTAAACTATTTGAAACACTAATAATAATTATAATCGTAATAATCATAATATAATATAATATAATATAATATAATATAATATAGTATAGTATATATAATATTAGTAGCAAGTGAAGTAAAAAAAGCAAAAAAAAAAAATTAAACTACAGCTTTAATTCAGCTAATATACGACTGCACATGTTTTTGTACAGCCATGGATCACCACTGACCCTTCGGAACTGCAATCCATGCATCCCCAAGAGCCATGACACCTTGACAATATATATCTCAAACCGTACGACCAGATCAGGGACTGTAATAGCAGCTCCTCCACATGGCGTCGTGGGTGCACTCTCTTCCTGTCGTCGCTCCTGGCTTTCTGGGTCATCGTCACCGTCATCATCGTTGCTGTTGTTCTTTTTCTTCTTCTTGTCCGTCACCCGATTCATATCAATACTTGGCATATGTACACATTCAAACCGTCCTTTGGTCTCCCGCCATTTCACACCTATTCGTTCCAAAACTCGGATCAGGTCTGCACGGATCACCGATGGATGTTTGGTCGACGTTGTCGTGACCGAAAAGAGACCCTTTAGAAACACTTGCTTGACTGTTTCATCAGCAGTGCCTTGCGGTCGTGACGTTGTGGATGGATACACCTGTTCGTGAGACTCGAATTCTTGTGGTAATGTCTGCGCAGGTGCTTTGCCGGACGCGACAACTCGGTTTTCGGCTAATGGATTGGTGCCACTCACTGTTGCTTGCCGTGGCCTCCGTTGTGTACGCTTGTTGTCGTTGTTATGTGCTGCAGTTGTACTGCCAGCCCTGCCCAGCAGATGACTGACTTTGTTGCCAAAACTTGAGCTTCCATGACTGCTGCTCGTGGTTATCGTCGGTTGTGGCGGTGCACTCATCAGCAAACTATCATTATTGGCGTCGGGTGGTTCAATAGTATTCTTGGCGTTGGAAGCGGTGGGTATGTTGATTGGGTGTGTATGGGTAGACGGTGTCAAGTCGGTGCTGTTGCGCGAATTGCGTCTTTGTTCCTGTGAGGATCGACGGTGTTGGATCACGTTACTAAGCCGTTTAAATACATTGTTGCCATGGTGTTGGCTGTGATGGTGTTGATCGTTTTCGTCGTCCGCTGAAGAGCTTTCTGATGTACGATTTCCGAACGGCTGACGGCTCATCAATCGATGTAATCCACTCTCCAAGATATTGGGTCGATCTGCCTCGACAATATGCCCTTCGTCATCCACACGAATATTTGTCCGTCCACGTCTACCAAATGCAACACCCGTCGTCGTTCCATCTGTGCTGCTGCCAACTTTACCACTGCCGGCTCCAAATATGTCGTGTTGTACATTTCCATTCGTAGAATACGGTGTATGTTCGAATGGTGAAGAATCGACTGGATGGGCCGTTTCGGGTATGGATATGTCGGGAATGCGCAAATGTTTCATGGATTCATCAAAAGAGCCCATGCTACTGATGGATGTTCGTCCTTCTGGGTCTGAGCTGGAAGCAGCTGCTCGTCGTTCTCGTTCCATACGTTCTTTGACGAGATAATAGATGGATACGAGCGGGTGGTAGGCGGCAGGAATTGACTGTGGGTCATCGTTGGGCATGGAATAAGGTTTTCTGCTGCTGGGTATCGGCGATGGATGGTGGTGGTGTTGCATCCGCGAAGCAGAGCTGCGGGATCGTTTGGCGAGTGTCTTTGCGGCTTTTTGATAATCTTCAGAAGTAATGATGGATTCCAGTTGCTGCTTGATCTCGGCTTCGGAGCCAAATCCGAACCCGGTCATATTCCGAATCACTTCCATGTCGACAGGTAGTAATAACGGCGCTCGATCCGGTAGATGATTATCCACAGGACCATCATACCCTCGGTTCATCCACGGATGGACAACGATCTCCGATATTGTGGCACGATGATTCGGGTTGGTTACAAGCATACGTGATAATACGTTTTTACATTCTACACACAATATACACATATTAGTTTCCTAGACTTACTTTTTTCCAGCACTCTTTTATTACCTGAGCTTAGATGACTAGGATAGTCTACATGTCCTCGTTTGATTTTGGCGTGTAAGGCTGGCATGCTCTGGTCGTCGAATGGTACCTTGCCACACACCAGAACGTAGAGTACAATTCCAAAACTCCATACATCTACTTCCGGTCCTGTATATGCTTTAGCGTGAAGAAGTTCCGGTGCTGCAAAATAGAGTGATCCGCAGAATGTCGATAAATGAGATCGTGGCGAAAACAGATTTGATAATCCAAAGTCGATAATTTTAACGTGGCCGGATTGTGATATGAGGATATTTTCGATCTTGAGGTCTTTTTTTAAAAAAAAATCGGTTGTTGATCGTCCACCATCAAAGAGAAAATTGCCCATATTAGCTTTAGAAGAGCCATTGAAAGAAAACTATTCAGAATAAAAAATTACCTCGATGTACAATGGAATTTCGATGGCAGTAGTCTAAATATTAAAGGAGTTTTCTCTCGTTAGGATAACAATAACGAACTACAGCGTATATAATTAGATAACAATTTCTTTTACTTTTACTGTACCTAGTGCACTCACGATCTGACGGGCAAAGCGTCGGGCATGTTTTTCTTTTAATTTGCCATGCGAAATTATGTAATCGAGCAGCTGCCCACCACCGACATACTCCATAAACAGATAATAGTACGGATCAAGCACGACTAGCTCTTTTAGACTCACAATGTGTGGATGGTATAGCAGTAACATGATGCTGGCTTCACGGATCGTCCGTATTTCTCGGTTCTCGCCATCCTTTTCGTTCTTCACTTCCGTGGCAAAGCTCCGAGGAACGATCTTTACTGCCAACTAAACGTAGATAACAACTTTTTCCGTTAGTATCTTGAGAAATTTATACATTTCAAAAGATAAAGAAAAGCGAGGGGGTTGCAAGTTGTCTGTATTATCTTGATAGGTATATGGAAAACCTATCTCGTCGTTTTTTCCAGATCGCAAACCATTCGTGAATAAAGAATTACCTTGTCATGAGTGATATTATGCATGGCCAGCTTGACTTTGCCCATAGATCCACTGCCCAACGTCGTGATCAATGTGTAGTTGCCGATAACTTTACGTGGCTTTGATCTTTGTTTTTTTGGATGGGGCGATGTAGTACGTTTACTGCTGCTGCTGTTGTTGTTGTTACTGTTGTTGTTCTTCTTATTGTTAGTGTTTTTGCAAACACGTTCTTCGTAGCTGAGCGGTACAACGTCAATGGGTAACGACTCATTCGTAGCAGAATTCGAATCGCCGCCATCCACGACGTCTTGATGCGAGACCTTATTCGCCATGAGATGCTCGGATCGTCGTTTGTGGGTTGTTTAGTGTATGTTGTGTATGTGTGTTGTGAAGTAGCTGATTGAGTGGGTGGGGCGGAATGCGTAGTAAAGTGTTGGTGATGTGGAGATGGAAACGTGAGAGAGGAGAGAGAGAGAGAGATAGAGGACAAAGTTTAAGAGAGAGAGAGAGAGAGTTAAAGTGTATGCTTTCGTTTCAATCGAGCTAAAAGAGGGAGTCCACAAAAACTCCACACCCACACACATCCCAAGCAGTTTGATCCCAAAGCCCGTCTTTATCGGTTGTTCATCTCGGCGAATATTGGTTACTACTAGTTTCCTTTTTTTTAGCTTGTGGATATTTAGCATTGTTCATTTTCCTTTTAAACTGGTTCATATGGCGCTGACTTATTAAACTGATCTGCTTCATCAGGCTCTCCATTAGTTCATTTTCCTGTTTCGGATATCAGCTACGAGGAAACATTATTACTACCATGGATTTTCGCTCATTGTTGTTGTTGTGCTGCTGAGGAGCGCGCGCGCGTGTGTGTGTGTGTGTGTGTATGAAAAACCTAGGTCGAGTATCGACAACGTTTTTATTTGGATTATATCAGTTGACCCCGTGATTACTGGTATTTTATTACTCAACAGTTACGTGCATCCATTGTTATGCATGAAAGCGCGGGACGAAAAATATTTGCTTCTGAGTCCACTGATATAGATTTACCGTCAGTGCAAGTGACGACTGTTAGGACCTCAGACAGTGAACGTACATTTCACAGTAAAAGATGATATTTAGTCGTTTGAGCACTGTGCGTAAACTTCGTTTTATGTACCATGTTGTCTTTTCTATCATCAACTTCTCTGATCCACATCTTCTACGCCCAATAAAGACTCTTCTCATGGGTAACGTAGATGTGCATCTCTTATACCCTCTCCTACTTTCGATGATATCAACGTAGACTTCTTTCGCTTTTGATTCTTCTACCCCTTTACTAACTTTTTCCACCCTTAACTCATCACATTAGGCAGCAGCAGCAGCAGCAGCGACTCACCGCCCACCGTTTGTATCAACGATAAACGTCGTCAAGGCACAAAGTGGTATCAATCCTAACGGAGTTCTCAAGACAACTTACCAATCTTCGATGTGTACGCGACACAAGCATAATACAGCATGAAGAATTAAGATCATGATCAGTTTGTATGTGTAACGTAGGCAGCAATGACAGCAAGAGAAGAAACACAAGCACATAAACGACAATAATGCCTAGTTGGATTCCATACCACACGAGCATGTATCACAATTTTCATGCAATGTGTATGCGGTATCAGAAAGTGTTAAAGTAGAGAGTTATCTTTTAATGACATGTTCAGCGTCGGGATGCTTCATTCAGCGATTTATGCACTTCTCCTTCATGCTACTTCTGCAACTCTTTTCAAACGACAACGCCAACTCCGATATCTACACCACCTGTAACTCATGCACTCTCAATATAACTCTAGTCACTATTTCAGATATCTTTCCACTTCAACCTACTAAGTATTTTCTCACTCATCACGGCTGTTTCACTATCTTTTCGCCCCCTGCGCTACATTTAAATCCGGGCGAGCACTTTTCTCCCTTGTGTTGAACATAAAGTGTTCGTAATTAAAAAAATTTGAAGATCTGCTCACTACATAATACGTAGTTGTAAAAACAGCAGATAGCCTTTTCATCATATAGCACAAGGATTATGTTTAATTTTTTCCTTAATACCATCATGAGCGCTTACAACTACTGAATGAGTCTCGGTCTTTTCAGATGCCTGCAGTCGCCCGCCAATGTAGGAGCTTCTGACAGGCATGATAATATTGCTTGCATCTGACTAAAGCTCAAATTAGACAGACGTTCCAAAAATTAAGCGTGCGAGCAAGTAAATGTGAAAGCGACAGATGAGTATAGTAAAGCGAGGGAGACGAAGAAAATGGCGAGTTTGCGGTAAGGAAATGTGCGAGGAAATAAGTGTGCTCATGGAAATCTTGTAAAAGTCAAGTACGTCCTAGCAATTTCATTATTTTAAAAGATGTTGGCGAAGAGAGAAGGAAAGGATACTGTAATGGTACCCTTGTTTCCTTTTTGTTTCAGAGATACTTGGTTATTGTACCGTCTTGGAAGACAGTACTTGAATCTGACCATCTTGCTATAACCATGTATAGCTATATCTCAATACCAGGTATGTTTATCCTGTGATTCGATGCTGCACGATTGCAAACGATACGTAGATTCGCCGCAGGGATTCTTCTTTTCTGTTGTATGGACCTGAATTGATTTAATACAGCCAATGAATGCATATGCTCGTCGTGACGTGACGTGGTGCGTCGCTGTTACTATACTGTTGGTTGCAGAACGGACATCTCAGTCGCTCCGCCAAACGAGAGTTGAAGCTGCCCACGCCCATTTTCTGCAAGCTTTCAAGAGATCTTTATAGCTCTCGTGGAAAGCCATATTAGGAGTACATAATGCAAGAGTCCGGTAAACAAGGCACACCACACCTGACCGTTTCACTGTTTGATTACAAGAGCAAAGTCTGCGCATGATGAAAATAGATCGCCTGTTGTGGTCTCTTCTTAATAATGGTCTCAAGCAGTTGCGTTTTTCCTTACATTTCCTTTTCTTCCTCCGGTCCTGAAGCGTCCTCACCGCAGTGGAGTGTGTAAAGTTTTATAGTTCAACCGAGTGTACGTAACAACAATATACAGTATGACACAAACATAAAATGTAAGTCGATTCATAAACAGCACTTCGCTTACCCCGCCAGAGAAGGGGGAGGTCATTCCCTGAGCTTTACCAAAGCAAGCCGTTTCTCACTGATCATTACTAGGCGTTTTTGGGCGAAAAGCACAACGAAAAAGCACAGCAATAGTAGCAAGCCTTGTCTAGTCGCTATAATATAGTTGGAGCAGCACTCTGGCATCTTGGATAAAGTTTGTCAATCCTCAGATACCCGCTCCTGAAAACAAATAGACGAAAGTTGGTTCTTAACTCTAATCTAGTATATGAGCTGCCAGCTCATATACAACCCAAAGCCGGTCACCATTTTCATTAGTAAATCAAAAGCATAACACTGGAATTTTAAAAAGGATATCTTGATTTACCTTTTGGATGTTTGGAAGGTCAACCGTTTGCCGCAAAAATTGGGTTGCACTAAGTAAGAGACGGGTCGTTCGTGTATGCCTTTGTTTCCATAAAGGGTATCGTTACACTTCCAACACCTGTATAATTTCTTGTGATAGTCCTGTCACAGGAGGATAACAACGTTAAAATGATGAGTCCCAACTTATCTTTCTTGATTCGATAAAGATGGAGTTTTTCTTTTAATGATAACATGATTAAATATAAGCGAATAGATTAGATTACACGGATGAACAGGGGGGAGAAAATTATATACAAAAGAATATAACAGGACGAGAAAATTGAGTGTGGAGGATTTGGTTGGAAATAAAGACAATAGAATTTACACAAAATAAAATGGAGGACATTTTTCTTTAAAGGTGGGTAGAGGAGGAGGAGGAGCTTGAGAGTTTTCAATTAGTCGACATAACCGTCAATAAAATCATCAATGGATTCCCATGCGGCTTCTTCAACAATAGGTGCTGGAACACCAGAACCAGCTGTAGCGAGAGCAGCACCTTTGTTGACACTGGTATTGCTATTACTTTTTGAATTACTGTTGTTCTTGGCTGAGGAAAACCGTCGGATACCACTCGTCGCATCCGGTTGCGGCATGGCACCTGCCACTAGATTCGTAGCAGATGTATTGGCGGGCTTTTGACCGTAGCATGCATACCAAGGACAATGGGACTGATACTTTTGACATTCCATCATGACTTGTTGAATGGCAGCTTCGGTCAGACCTTCAGGATATTCATCAGTGGTAGTAGCCTGTCGCACAGATGGATGCAGTGACTGATAGAAGCCTTCCATCGTCTGTCCGTGGATCTGTCCCAGTTGCTCACCCCAGCCTAAGGGGATGGTCACACGGTCTTGATGCACGTCCACAAAGCCCGGTTGCTGCGTCATTAGTAATGTCGACAAATGATAGCATAGTTGAAGATCAACGTCGTAGTGTAGCATTGTTTCAGATACTATATTTGTTGAAACCTGGTCAGTTACATCATGTTTGTCAGGGGCGGGAATTGAACTTTCGAAAACTCACGTCTTTGATTCAGCAACTGTTCAGTAATAGGGCCGGGTCGTTGCACTCGATACTCAATATCGACAATCTCAATGTAGCCCAAAGGCTTCAAGACACGATTGACTTCTGCCAGTAGCCGGGTCAATTGCGATTGAGTGAGGTGGCACAGCATGACCCGCATGTGGATATAATCGAGCGAATTGTCGGCAAAGGGCAGCGTGTCAAGCATGTTGTGTTGGATGAAGCGTGCGTTACTGGGTTTGATAGAGTTGGGAAACATGGGGCACAGATCGATGCCATGGAAATCTGCATAGTAGCAGTGATGCGTGTATAGCACATAGATAAGCATTTCTTGTATATTTGATCTGTTTTTATCTCTGATAATAATAACTTACCGGCATCGGGAAAATCGCTAGCCATTTCAAGCACCCTATTATATACGATACCAACGCACCACACAATTTGTATGTTAGGATCTCAGATATACCCTTCCTCCCCTTTGGATGTTCTCATGTAGCCTTTCCCCAAAAAATAATCATTACCAAGTTCCAGGTCCACAGCCAATATCAAGGACCTGCGACCGTGATGTCGCACAATTGAGTAACTCTGTCACAGGGGCTTTGAAGCTGCTGTTGAATGCGTATTTTAGCATAAAGTGCTATCATCAACAAACACGCAAAAGATTTAGTTTACAATAGTTCCCTAATTTGTCCTGATAATCGTCATCATATATAGAGCGATTGGAGTATTACCATAATGACAATACGATCCGACTCGTCGTCGTCGATAGGCAACATAATCCGAGCGTCAGAATGATTCAAATATCGTCGACCGTCGAGCATTGTATACTCCAGTTTAGGCGGGGGATCCGTAATGAGTGGCACGAGCGTCGAGCTTTCGGATGCTAGCGAGTTCATACGCGCTGCAACTGTTCGAGAAGAAGGTCGTTGTTTTTCATTGCCGCTATTGCTGCCGCTGCGGGGAGTAACACTGCCATTCGTACTACTGCCCTGTGATGATTTGCTGTTTTGCCGACTGCTACGGTCCGCAGTAGACGAAGTGATTGATCCAGTACCAGCGGTCGAAGGTTTCTTTTTCGGTCGAGGTGGTGGTGCGGAGGGTGCGACGGCTGCAACTTCAAAAAAGTTCATGTATGGTGCCTGATGCGATAATCGTTGCTGTGCGCGAGGCGATAGCGTTGAGGCGACGGCATCGGATAGCTGCGGTTGCTGCGACGGCGCGTTGCCCATGGTAATTTTTGTCAGCTTTTTTTCTTCTTTATAGAAAAAGAGAAAAAAGATGCGCTTTAACGACGATCAACTCGAAAAAGAGACGGGGATAAAGAAAAGCAAAAGAGGGAAAAGAGAGAGACCTGAAAAATTTGTATGTGTGTTGGATTTTTTGTCTCTCCCTCGCTCCCTTCTTGGGAGCCTAAAAGTAGCGAAGGCGCGGATCTGCACTGAGAAGAAAAAAAAATCAAGGTTGAAAACTCTACCAATAGACTGTCGTACAGCAAGTGTAATTTGGAAACGCCAGTTGAATTTCCTTCAAGAACAAGCCCAATCATCTTTATTCATAATCAACAATGGTTTAGCCGCGTATATTTTTGAAGGCGTGCAATGATACTCCTTCCAAGTTTATATTGAAAACCCAGCGTATCAAAGCGTACTCCGCTTCCTTTTTAATTCATTCGAGAGAGTTTCCCAATTCAAATTCATGATAGGCCTTGGTGCCAACCAGTGATATCAGCCATGGCTTGAAACATGTAGTCATAGTACCCCACTAAAAGCCAAGAACAGACCCCCATTTGTGTGGGTGGAATCATCGATTCATCAATTCACTTGTCATTGGAGAAACATTCTTTTTTAGACTCTTACCGTTATTGTGGTCCGCGTGGTGCAACTTGACCAGATGAACCTGATCTTTTTTGTAGACCGTCGCCTCGTTAGGAACGATGCGTCGGCTTATCGAAGGATCTGCATCGACCCAGTCCTTGGCGAATTCCAGCCTTTGTCCTTGGCCGTATACAGCCCGGTGGAACAGTAACTGTGAATTGTGGCCTGGGATCTCCACGTCCGATGCGCCATATGTAAGCAGAATGGGACATTCCAGATACTATTTTACACATAAATAGCAGCTTCTTAATGGTTACCCCAACAAAATTTCAATTGCAGAAGCAAGAACAAACCTCAATGCGAGACACAGAGTCATAGACATGCAACAAATGACTCAGTAACCATTCTGCACACAAAAGAAAAGGACTCTATTAAGCTACTGTGCAGTTCTTTTGATGTTTTGAAGCTTACTTTGTACAGGAGGTACCAGACGCACTGGACTCAATACGGCAATATACTTGAGCATTCTGTATTCAAAGATGAGGTTCGGCAATGAACTGTATGCGGCCTTGAGTATCAACGCATTAGGTGGTTGGTCTACATAGACAGTAACCCGATAAGGTAAACGATGCGGTGTGTCATTTTTTTTTTGTTTTCGGCAGTTTATAAAAAAACGTGATGCCTTTTTACCTCGTTTTGTCATGTCGTAAGCCAATGTCGTTGCAACCCCAGTACCTGGAATCAGAGCCCCATCTGTTTAGTCGACTGCCGCTTTGAATTTAAAGCCTTTATTTTCTTCTTTACCAAGTGAATGACCAATAAGCGAGATGCGATCGTGGGATACTATTCTTCAAATTAACACGGTTAGACTTTGGCATTATTTGGAAAAATTAAAAAGTGAGCTTTGAAGAAAAAATTACCATTTCTTTGAAATAGCCAGTCCACCGTCGCAAGCGCATCCAGTCTCAAACCTTCTTCGGAGGGAATGCCCTCTATAGTAAAATAACTAAAGTGTTACTTTCTTATAGAGTAACAATGCTCCTTGTGATCTCACGAAATATCAGCACTGAGTGATCGTTCAGTTTACATTACCAGAATCACCGAATCCGCGATAGTCTATGGCGATAATATTTAATCGGTCAAACTTATCTCCTAAACGCTATTATTTTAAGAATAGAAAATCCCAATGTGGCGACGATAGCACTAAAAGTGAGCCAAGTAGTACAGCAGCATTATCTGCATACACATATATTGAGCTAGAAGGACCGCGGGAAAATCAAGCATTGTTATACCTTGTACAGATCTGTACGCCACGGTGCGGCACGATGCAAGGCATTGCCATGGAGATACAAGACAGTGTCGTAACTAGGATCCGACAACGCGGCGTCGTAGACTGTGTCGCTAGGCAAATTTGGGTCGTCTCGGAGATTATGCCGCTGATAGTATGATGTTGGAAGGATATGCCATGCTCCTGATGGGAATACCATGTTTGTTGTTAATAATCATAAGAGGAACAAGAAAAAAAGTGATGATCGACTTCTTTTTTCCTCTTTTGCACAATTTGTAAAATACCTAGAGTAACGTTATCGGCCGACGTAATATGTATATTTCGAACCTTGTTGTCTGTTTATGGGGTTATCACGGCAATATGTACGTATTAGTCGATTTTTTTTGCTCCATTAGAGTCATGCTACTGGATGCTTGTCTCAAAAAAAAATGCAACATACGAGCAAAGCCGTAAAGCTCAGGTACTTTTAGGTTTGTACCATTAGGAAGTTTGACCCAGTGAAGATAGATCATTCTATTTTTTTTTCTCCTCTAAGATTATCATACTCTTCGCTTGTACAAAGCTCTCACTATACTAATATGATATTACTCACAGTCGTTGTGGGACGGGGAAACATAGCAATAGTACAATTACCTACAATTGGGTCGATTAGAAAAGAAAGCATCAGTTAACCAGGAAAATGTCGTTATGGATATCATCGCTATTTCCGGCTGTGATTGCGTATTCTTGCTTTACCCCGTAGCCGACAGTAATGACGAGGGAAGTTGCAATGAGTTTGTGCAGAATCCCCATTTCTATTTGGTTGTAAGAGGAAAAAGCTGAACCACGCGTTGGGCTAAACGCGGACATTTTCACTTAAAACTTTAAATTTATGCACACTGCTTTCCTTTGTGCTTTCTCCCTCTTCCACCTCCACTACAATAAATATTTCTCTCTCTATCCTCTGCGATCTGTTTTTCTACTATTAGATGAATGACAACTATCAAGACTCACTTTTGCAGATTTGCTAACTCAACTATTAATTCTAACATCGTCGATGGCACCCTTTCTCCTGGGAAGACCCACCCTTGCTTTCCAGTAACTGATAGCTCTGCATTGAGCAACAGGTATGTGCCCGATGAATATAAAGGCACAAACCTGTTCAATCTCTGTAATCCGGACACAATCCCATTTCAAATTCCTTTTGTAATGATTTCAGCAACCAGTTACGGCAAACTTAGAGGAATACGTTCCAGCAGAGCAGTACAACACACAAATTGAAAAAAACTAGTTGATGTAGCTACGCAAATCTCCAACGTTTTGCAAGTACAAGCTGTGCCTTCGCTTCCAACTTATTACAGCTTTGTCGGAACCTTCGCCGCAGCCTTCACCACAGAAGCAAACGAGAAGTGCAGCAATAAAAATCCGTGTTCGGCCTGCGGGTGGTCAAGCGAACATTATTGAATTATCCCAAGGCCAAAAACGGCGAACGGCAGTTGAGCAACCAGTAGCAGAAAAGTGCTTGCGTATTGATGTGGACAATGCACAGGATCAAATGGCTATTTCGAAAATACCCAGAGATCTAGCTCTCTGTCCTCTTTATGGAGGATGACAACAGTTATGCTTTCGAGAATTTCGTGTGTGGACATTATGCGATACTGAAAATTGTTACAACGAGAGTTAAGCGGTTAAGGTATAGGTTTTGGACTGAGTTGATGCGGATACAACTCGCAACTGCCCATCTTCCTCCACCTGACTGACAAAGAGTATGAAGAAGATGACCTTGAAAACTACCGCACAACTGGCTTAGCGAATTGCTGCAGCAAAAGGCTATAAACGCCAAGGTCGAAAAAAAAACCTCTTTCCTCGTGACCTTGTCAGCTATGTCGAGTACATCGTCCTTCAAGATTGGCAATTAGGCGAAGATAACGAGTGGTGCGTAAAATATGCGAGCAACAAAAGCAGCGTGGTTTTACTATCCTGACCAAATAGAGATCGGCAAAGTACAAACATGCACACTTATATGTATAACTCAAGCATGTGAGGCAGTGCTTAACTGTGCACCTGCAGAAGACGCTTTGGTATGCACGGAATTGCGCTTGTTCGACAAGTAAGTTCAAAGATTGACTACGACAATCAAGGAATACAAAAAAGATGACAGCATTATACGAGACGAGATTTTGGACAACTTTGATTTAATGATTACATGAAGTAGAGAAATACCAGCATTATCTTATTTTATTGCTACAAACATTGCAGACCTCTTGGCCACTGTGACATCAGTAATGTTTTCAAAGACTACCACGAGGGGATGGCATCGCGTCAGCACTTAAAAAAGCTCTGTGCTCTTGGGTAGAAAAAGGGATGATCGTCATTCACACATACACACAGCAGTACCGGAAGATAACGCGCTTTTAAGAACAGAGAAAGGAAGAACAGAATCAGAAAGCTGTACTTTGGTATATAGTGTAACTGCAAACAAGTATCAAGTCAATCACTCACCGTTCATTTTGAGCACGGATCGCGGCCCCTGCCCTACCCTCCCTTAGCTGGAAGACCCTTCACTTTTGTCTGACGTCAGAACCTAACATACATACAACAAACAATCATCCCCTCGCTCATGACAGTCGCTTAACCACTTGTTCCTAGCTAAGTTATGGTATACGTGACGGAAAACGCGAGTGGAAGCCGCCTATTGAATAATAAGTACCTGATCGCTGTATCTCGAGAGATTAACAGGCCTGCATTTGCAATATTAGCCTAGTGGAACTGATAAAGCAAATAGGGTTCACGATATACATTACAATAAAGTGCACTTATGTCACTCTTCGAGCCGTTGAGCGGTCGTCTAGTCTTGGTTTGTTTGCCACAGAGTCTGTTTCTTTCCATTTGTTGATAAGGTTGTAAACAGTATTGCGGGCCAGTTGTATTCCTCTTTGATCTAAGGAATTTATTATATTCCTTTTAGAGCCCAATATTTTCGTGCTTGATGCTTTCTGGCAATTCTTTACGGCGTTCGTGACAGGCATTGACATTATTGATAGTGTTTCTTAAAAGACATTGTGTATGAGAAAGAGGTGAAATGATCCCAAGGTTTTTTTGGGTGGAAGTGTCCATTCGCTACGAATGGCAGTTTTGATAAAAACTTTCTTGGATGGAATTTTATCAGATATTATCACACACTGATATCGTTAATTACACGGTCAAAAAAAGCGTACCTCTTTTTCACTGACATTTTTTAATTGAACTGATTGCAATATGTATAAAAAAAGGAATAATCTATAAGCACTGATAAAGATAAAGATAATAAAAAGATAATACATGAAAATGACGATCCTGTTGGATGAATAGAAAAAAAAACTGACATGATAAAAAAAAAGATGGAGAGAGGGTAGAGAGAGCTAGCTACTAGAATCTTGTAAAAAAAAGCTAATGAGTACATTTTGCTGTCAAAGCCTTGTGGGCCTCAGCCAGCTGTTCCTCTAGAACGCGGACACGTTCCTGCAAGTCCTTGTCCTTGGATTCCAGACCCGACTTTTCTGACTCGAGCACGGCTACGCGTGTGGTCAATCGGGAGTTCTCACCCTCCAACTCGGTTACACGTTGTTCCAACGCTTCCATCTTCATCAACTTTTTCAAACGCGATCGACGTGCAGCATCGGTATTTCGCTGACGTTTCACCGCAATATCATCTTGTTCCTTATCGCTCAGCGAACAGCTGGCCTTGCGCTTGCTACCAGCGACCTGAATAGTGGACGAAGAGGTCGGTGTGGCAGGCGTGGCACCAGGTGACGATGACGATGATGATGACATGGTCATTTCCGTGGTCTTGGGCATGATAGGCACGGGACGACGTTGCTGTTGTTGCGATTGCTGTGGCTGTCCAACTGGAGGTGCCGGGGCAACAGGTCGCATAGCAACGGGGAGTTGTTGCTTGACAACAGGCCAAATGTCAGGGAACAAGGGAACACCAGGTGACGATGAAATAGATGACGAGTGATTTTGTTGTTGGTTGACAATACCAGCGCATTCCTTGCCGGGACTGGCAGTCAATGGAGGAGACTGAGGCAACAACGAGGAAGTTGGCGTTGACACATCGCTTGAAGGTGTGGTAGCAACAGATGAAGACGGAGAGATAGAACATAAGTCTTGCTGTTGCTGTGTCAGGATGCCAGAGTGTTGAAGCTCGTCAGCAAGCCAGTCGTCGATCATGAAATTGTTACCGGTGGTGTTGTCAACAGTAGTTGTGGCCGTCGATGCTGCATTGGACAGGTCGAGCAGTTGCGAAAGTTGATCTTGTTGCAAAAGATAGGGATGCGTAAGGGTGATTGCAGACAGAAGGGCGTCTGCGCCCATCGGAGTTGTTGATGATGTGGACATTATTTTCTTGATGATTTCTTTTTGTTGTATAAACCGAGTTGGAGGGTGAGTAGAGCTGAGCAGTAGTTGGGTGGGTGTTTGTTTCCGTATTTTTGTTGTTGCTAATTTCCTGGGGTGTTCTGTTGGGTAAATATCTTCACGGTGCAGGTTGATGGTTCGTCAGTCGTGTATGCAAAGAAAGGCGATGATTTGGGGTTGGCGTAGTACAGTTGCTTATTAGAGACAAGGGCAGACATGAGAAAAATAATAAGAGGTTCTTGAGATGACAAGAGACTTAGAGATATATAAGAGCGGTTTAGATAAAGAGGAGACAAGAGATTATAAGAGCAAGCAAATCGAGATCAGATGATTAAAAAATGATAGCAACCATGATTACAGGTTCAGAAATGGGGAATACAATAAAAGGCAAAGGGGTGTATGTTCAAAATTCAAAATATAATAAAATAATATAGAGCAGAACTGGATTCTTTAAAAGAAGTGTTCTTGATGTTGTGTTAAGTGGATTGTGGGTGTGAAGGTGGAAAAAAAAGTTTTGCTTGAAGAGAAAACCGCAAAGAGAAAGAGAGAAAACAAAAAAAAAACAGATGTACGGGTCCCAAAGGGAGGCTTATTTTTATAGTCGTCAAGATGGCACTCTGCGATTGGTTAGTGATTATCTCATCCACATGACCCCGCAACGGCTCTACCGGGCACTTTTCGTTCTCAGTTGTAAGCCTTGCCACAGATGCAAGGTGGCCCGCGACTCCGCCAAGCGGACGACCCGTAGCATCTTTTCTACTGGAAGATCTTCTCTCCACACCACGGTGCTATGCATAGCAGACTGCAAAGATTACAAAAAACAAGGGCGTACCTGGAGCAGTGCATTATGTGAATCAAACACTTGTAGTTGAAATGCTTGAGGTCCAATACTTTACTGTGTTTTTCACACGGCCAAGGTTTCGTAACACAAGCAGATATGATAAGCGGGGAATTACTTTTTTTTTTTTCGTTCGATCTATCGTCACAGTACAACAACATCATCAAGGTTCGGTTATACCTTTCGGCAAGATATACACAGAGTAACAGCCTGTAGGTTGTTTCAAACACAAAGCGGACATATATCACTAGACGAAAACCATGATCTAAGACCTAGCGTCGGACCAACCCGTAAGAACTAATTGTTCGTTTTATTGTGATTATTGGATCGTGCGCATGTTTACATAGGTTATATATGGCGGAAGTAACTCAAAGATGACCGATATGGACGGCGCCATCGTAGTGGCAACAGCAAAAATCCTGTGAGCAGGGGCTTTGTTGTGGTTCACCCGATCGGGCAAGATACAATTTTGGGTCCCTTCTCCCCCAAAGTGAATTGGAAATAAACAGCTTATCCCGATGCCGCGGCGTTCGGCAAAAGGAAAAAAAATAAACATTATACGCCCCGCCGCCATACAGTATACATGCTTACATGTGCAGATTTTGGAATCCCAGATATAAGCAATAACAAACAAGTTTGCTGCTGCTGATGCTGCTGCGCATAACAAATCAGATCGTTGTATTCAAATATGTATAGTAACGTGTTCTTTTATTTTAAGAGAGCAGAGGATAAGACATGATGATTTACAGAAGAGGGATAAAAAGCGATGAAGGAATTGAAGTGTGCTGAGGGAGTTAATAGAAGTGTCGAAGAAAACTTGCCAGAAGCTTATTAATAGACCGTCGACATGTGGTATCTGGATTCCTCGAAATCCTTGATTTGTTGATCGTGAAGTCTATGGTGTCGCGCGCCGTTGCGAAGGCGAGATGAATAGTTGGTGACAACCTTGGCAAAGTAAATCTGTACTTTTGATTTTTAATATGCTTGCTTTACGCTGGGTGACTGACACTGCCCACAGAAAAAAAATAATAAACGTCGTTTTTTTTAGATCCCCGCCATTAAAGGCTTACCTGAATAACTTCAACAACGAAAATAACGACACCATATGCAATCAAGAACGTCTTGATCGTTGCTTCACAATCTTCTTGTGACGTGGCGTTGGCATTGAGCGTGCCTGGATATCGTACGGGTGCATAGTAGCTGCTGTCCGACAAGGCCGCCGGCGAGAGCGGCACTTGCGTGTTGTCAAATCCAACAAAGCCGGATCGCTTGCAGGATTGAATCATTGTGTCCCGATAGACGACCATCAGAATAAGCGAGATAAGGTATTTGATGATTGAAAGAGCGCAGCTAATCCATGCAATGATGCTGAACGCTTTTGCAAACTTGCGTGAGGCCTATTCACATCCAATCATTCGTTTAGACACACACACACACACACACACAAAACAACAGAGATAGATATTACTTGAATTGCAGATACTTACAAAGAGCGACCCAATAATACCAAAGAAACCACCAACGCAAATAATGACCGTCAGTAGCAACCCTATATAGTACCATGCTTTTGCTGATTGTCCTGAATAGATAGTGACAGCTATTACCACATGAGGAAGATTCGCAATGAGTATACTACGTCGAAAGTGAGCTTGCGTTCAGGTTTAATCGTATTGTGCTTCTTACCATTACTGCCCAAGAATCCAGTAACCGCATCTAACAGGTACACCACCTAAAACGTACAGAGTTTATAATTAATCCATCGTTCTGGGATGTAGATTGTAGGTTCGTAAAAGAATTATAAAAAACGTACAAAGAACCAGAGAGCAATGAGAAAGGTTCCCAGACGAAGTGGAATGAAGCAGCAGCACTTGTCCATTCCCAAGCCCATGGTTTGTTTACTGATCGATTCAATTGTAAAAGTAATGTATTATAGGGAGAAACGAACGGTAGGGGGGATATATGAAGAGAGGAGTGAGGAAGGGGGGTAGGATGCACGAGAGAGAGAGAGAGAGAGCGAAAAAAAAAATACAAAGCAAGACAGGACCTAAAATTACTCTGTGTGCTCATTCGTCAATCCGTAAATTAGGATCCACGTCGGGGTTCATGGTTCACTGGTAACACACACGCCTAACATGAAACTGTCATGCCTCCAACCGTGTTCGTGCGGATACGCATAGTAGACGTATCTTTGCGATCCATTGAGAGACATAACCCTAATAATATATAAAGAAGAAGAACTGGGGGCTCGGTACAGATTCAAGAGCACCAACAATATTGTGCTTGTCACTACCGGTATCCATCTTTCTAACAATAGGTCTTTCGTGCCACCTAGCAGTAGTGACCCATAGAAGGAACAAATATAGCATCTCTAAAAGAACAAATCCAAACAAGTTTATTACAGGCTCTACAAAAAGTTGATGCCCAAACCAAGCTGGAAACCATGCTTTGGCAGATCAGAGCCCTTGAATCGTAAAGGTATACAAAAGTTCGCCTCCACTCTAGCCAGTTCGTGATGGAAGATAAGACCAAAACCAGCTGCTGTCCGCGACTCGTTGATAAGTTCTTCAAGCGTGCCCTTCAATGGTGCGTCTACCAGCGAGATATGATTAGTAACTTGTTCTCTCTTCTACTTCTTTAAAAAAAAAAGTAGGATATGCTCTTACCCTTTGCTTTACTAGCAATGTTGCCAGCGTTGAAGAATGCGTGTGCTCTGACAGGAAGATGGGCAGCACCAGGAATCGGTGCGGTCAAGCTAGCACCAGCAGCATAGTAGACATTTCCACCAAGTGCATCATCTAATAATTCCAAGCGAACAATAATGAGCTATCTATCTATCTATCCTACAGTACATACTTATTGACTCTTCCCCTTCCACTCACGCCTTCCACAAATATAATGACTTTCAACTTACTGCCATCACGTGGACCAATACCACCCATCTTAAAGCCTCGTACAGAAAGTGGACCACCCACATAGAATCTATCAGAGACATTGACGCGCTCGTTATCCGTAGTAGGCATCAACAATCCAAACTTGACGCCGGTGCTCAAGACGATATCGCCCATCACAGGCTGATGCACTTGAGCAGCTAATTCGTTCTTGAAATAGTTTGCGTCGCCGCGTTGTCCCATACCAGCGATTTCTTGGGTGACAGCCAAGTACTTGCCCTTGGTCGGCATGGTGACGTGATCACGTGTGTCGCTAACAAACGTATGGGTCAAGGCTGACTTGAGATTCTCGCCAGAGTTGGCACGGACACTAAAGCAAATATCAGCTTAGTAAAATCTTCCCCTCTTTGATTTGTTCATCGGCGCGTTGTTTTCCATTCCTTCTCATTAATATTATTATTATTAAATACTTTACGTTCCAGACGATTTAGGTTGAGCGGTAATGTCACGGCGTGTCATGGCGTACGCGACTTGATGGTTGCCATAGCAAGAAGTGCCCTTGACACGGGCACCAACACTATTTGCACGCTCCTCATAGTTGTTGATCATAGAATAATCGCGGATCGAGCCGTTGGCGAACGCCTCGAGCTTGACGTCAGGCGATCCTTGAAGAGGTGTCCCAGCAACTATCTGTATAATGCCTCTTAATTCCTCTTGTTCTTTTTCGTCTTTGCGCTTTCTTCACCCACTTTTTCAGGTTATCATTTGTCCATTGCTTCTTTCCCAGTTACCTCAACAGCAGCCTTTGTACGGTTACCAAAGGCGAATCGAGTAGTTGCCGTCTCTGCACCACCGAAAATGTTTCTGATCGTCACAGCGCCCGTCTATGTAGCATAGACCAGCAAAAAAAAAAAAAAGGACCGTCTCAGATTTACTATTGTTCTTTTCATCATAGATAAATAATAATAATAAAAAAAGAGAGAGAGGCGAAAAATGTATTACCATGTTTGCTTCGTTTTCGCCTACGGCCAAAGTAGTCTGATAAACACCCTTGGACTTTTCCTTCAGGTCGAACGTAACATGAACGGAATCCGCATTGGGACGCGACGAGTCCATGTACACCTTTATTTCTTCAAATATATCGTGTCGCTGCAACTTGGCTGCAGCTTCTTTCACACTGGCCAAGACATCGCCGGAGGTTTGCGCGTTAAACACGTCTTTGACTACACTGTTCAAGAACGATTCGCGGGTAATGGAGGTGCCGAGAATACGGAGTGCATCAACGTGAAGTGGAGCCTCTGCTGGAATCGGAACCTAGTAGCATAGCAATTTTAGTTGGATTTGATAATATTGATTGTAAAAGAGAGAGAGAGAGAGAGAAGAGAGAATTGCTAACCGAAGTCGACATGTTTATGCAAAAAAGCCAGTGTTGTACTTGAATTATTCTTCCACCCCCAGCAACATTTTTTTTTTGCTATGGGTTGCTGGGTCGACTACAGCTTTTGCCGCTCTTGGAATTTTATTCACGTCACAAAAAATGTGGAGCTGCTTCTATTTCATGCAACGCGCACATGCCTGATGCAGCAGCATTACGACATCCTGAGCGAATTCTCTAAGTTTAAGAAGGTGTGTTTCTCTTCTATTTTTCGCTTGTTTACTGTATATAGGGAGATGACGAGAAAGAATGTGGTTCTGCAAATAGATTGTTTAAGGACCAGAAAAAACATAAGTTAGGTGTATCGGGAAGTTTAGGATGTTTTTTTGTCCGTGTTTGCCCGCGATACACCCCAGACCGTGACATAACCACTGCACAAAATTCAGCGCATCAGCGTGTGGTATACCTAAGACTTATACATTAAATGAACGTTTAGAATAAGAATACATCTGGAAGACCATTTATAATACGGTATACGCTGGTTTGTCGTTGCGCAACTGAGTTTGGCAAGAACAACAACAATTGTTTTGATCTATTTTCATAAAAATCTTAAAAAACGCAAGAACAAGACTGTGGTAGGGGATGAGGAAAAATGACGAACAATATTGCTGAAAACAACAGCTAAAGATAATGAGTGGTACAATAGGAAGGAGAAGGATGGAGAGACTGCTCTGATCAGAGCACCCACAGGCTACTACTACTGCTACTACAGGTATTCAAGAACTTCGTACGGCGCACCAGTACGTCCCAAAAGTGCATTCCAATAATATTCAATATGAAACGCAAAGCTGTGGTTTCCACCAAACTCGGTTTCTAGCGCATCCGGCGAAATATAATCCTCCAAGTGAACCCATTGCGCGTTAACTTCGGCCGAAGGACTTTCAAGCTGCTGTTCCTTGTTTGATGATGATGATGATGATGATGTCTTTTTGTTGTTTTTATCATATACGAACTTGATCTTGGCCCTGGTTTGAGGATCCATAAATGGGGATATCACTTTGAACGTTGCAAAAAAGAACCATGGCGCTAGAATACATATACAAAATAAAGAGAGAAAGAAGACTGTTAGTTTAAAAAGTATCTCTGCCGTCTTTTTATCGATAGAAGATTGATCGATATTTATATATAGCATAGCACTTACAGTCTACAACAAATGCGATACCTTGTAGATCATTAATGATAATTTGAAAAAGTTAGTTAGAGAGGCTAAGTGTAGTTGTACTGTAATAAGATGGTGACAAACATTTTAACTTTACCCAATCGCTCCGGATAATGGTCTCCTAGTATATTCAAAAACCTTTTACACGTTGCAATACTCGGACTATGCGAATATGCAGCACCCTTGAAATCAACAATGATTGCGATCGTATCTACATGAGAAGGCATGAGCCGAATTCCTCGTTCGAGACAGAATATGATATGCTTTGTTTGTCTTTCTTCATCTTTGGAGTTCTGTAATCTTGGTCGGATGATCCAAATAGGTCGCCCACATGTGTCGAACCCGTTAAAATACATTTTGCCACTTTCTACCTGGGTTTAAAAAGGAAATTCGTTTTGAAAATAAGCTACTCCAGACGTGGATGAGCTTTTCAAGTCATCTCATATACAATGTTAAAGAAAACACAGCATACCTCTGGCTTGACATACTCTGGATCAATCTGGTCAGGCCGATAATCGCGGCGCCAGCGAATTGTACTTTCAAGCATTGATTTAGAAGACTGTTGTTTTTTTTCGTCAATGGATTGAGCATTTCTTATACATTTCACCGCGTGTGGTTAAAATAAGCTATACATTTTACCTCGAAATCCCATTTGCGTGCATGCAGATGCCGTCTTAGCGTCGCGTCTGTTAAAAACGCCTTTTCATTCGGATAATATGGATGATCCGTAGGAAGCATAATACCATTGATGTGACAACGTAGCGCTGCAAGCATAGACCATTGCGACCCGTCTAATGGGGGATGCACGCTTGCTGGAGAATAATGGTGTGGTGGACCAAGTTTTGGTTCATGGGTGACAAACGGGTCGTTTTGTTGTTGCGATAGTGTTGTTGTTGTTGTTGTTGCTACTGATCGATTACTGCTGTCACTATTGTAGAGAGAATTGGATCTGGATTTTGATCGATGGAAAAAACTGCTCATACTTGAATGAAGGAAACGAAATTTCAAGAAAAAAGCTGTTGGTCCTTTTTTCCATGGAAAACAAAAGCCTTTTTCTTATGTCAAAACTTAAAGCTTTTAAGTAAAAGGCACAGTTGCCGATCATTATCCGTGAGCGGTGCGCGGAACCGAGTTTGTGTGTGAGCGTAAAAGCCAAGACCGTATGCCGAGAGATCAATTTAATGGAAAACGTCAAAACTGTCACACACACGCACGCGCCAAGAACGACAATACGCGCACCTCTTTACAGAACTGGTAATGACGCCCAGTATATATGACGTATTCTCCTTCCCTTTTCCCCCTCTTTCACATTTCCAAGATTTTCTTTTTCCTATATAAAGGAAATAGCAAAAAATAAACCCTACTAGATATCAACGAACGTCAGCGGTAGTACGATCCAAGTGGCCCGATTCACCCGGAGAGGGTGCCGATAATACCATATTTGCCTACACCTGCACCACAAATAAAAAGACCGATCTTTTTGCTGTACTTTCTCAATAATACAAGCCTGTTTAACGTCGATTCGAGGGAAAGCCAGAGCTCTTTTCTTTTGGTTTATAACAGCGCATCCAGTGTTAGACAGTACAAAGCGCTGATTCCGCTGACGAACCTGTGTGAATTCTTTGGTTCCCTATATATGTATCAAAGAGTTCAAATTACTGAGGAGTCATGACAAACTGATATCTTGTGATAGTATGAGAAGTTCCTTTTGGCGAGTTCAGGTAGCAAACTGGGCTAAATTCTTATGTGAATGCTATTGGATTGACGTTATATGCCAAGATTTTGTGCGGCAGATCGTAACACCTCGATACGGAATACCATCATACATCTTAACTCATACAGCACTCAAGATACAAACTATATTCTCTCAGCAGCAATGACTGACCTAACATAAAAAGTCATCATACATACAAAGAGACATGATTGATGCCAAGATCATACTCCAGTGACACAATTTTGTTTCCAGTCATTCTTTTGCTCTATTGATAATAGATAGTAACATATCGATCGTATGTTGTACAGCTCTAAAGTATTTATCTGCAACATAGTAAAGCGTAAGTACGGCTTTAAGAATAAGATGCCTTACAACTGTCGTTAACGGATTTGTATGTTTTGTCGATTCTTTCTGTGATAAATGTGGGTGTCGTTAACGGATTTGTATGTTTTGTCGATTCTTTCTTTGATAAATGTGGGTTGAGAATATAAAACCAATATGAAATACAGCGAGAGTCAAATATCAGATGTTTGAGGTTCTGTTTAGACTTGGCGTTTGAACCACAAACTGATGGATGAGTCGTAGACAACATGCCGGATATTGAATCTGTCCAAGATCAAGAAGGTTGAGGAAGGTGGGGTTTGGATGTTCTCCGAGTGTAAGAAGATATCTGTGCCTTAATCAGTGTGTTCCGTGATGCAATGTCACCTTTGTCTGTAGTAGAATAAATTATTGTGTACCAACATCTGGTTATGAGTTATTCTCAATTGTGTTCCATGTTTAGTTATGTGTTATCTATATGGTGTTCATTCTACTAAGCAGTAACAGTAAATACAGCTCCTTTATTTTGCCTGCAACCTATCTCTCTTTTTCACTATGGATTAATTATCTCATGCGTGATTATATGGTTCTTATTTGCTGCGTATGTGTAAGGATAAGCTTGCTGTTAAATAAACCTTCAATATATACCGTACATAGCTACACAAACGTATAATATATCACTAGCAGTGTTTACATTGATGGTGACTCACTGTATATATCCGTTTAAATGCATACTGTTTTTAGACAGCTGCCATCTAGTGAAGCGAGGTCTTTTATGAGAGGAACCCCTTGGACAAAATTTTCTCCCGCGCCACTACATAAGAGACAATGCGGAAACATCGTCAGCATGATTAAATCGCATGTTTACGAAAAATCTTTCTTTTCGCCCGAATAGCTTGGCGTCACAAGCATGTAGATCCAGGGAAAGGAAAAAATGAGCTAGTTATTACAAAGGAGAGTACTTCCAAACAGTGGTCTTGTGAGTACATACGGCTGTTGTTGGTAGCAGGATACCGGTTGTCGCAACCTTGAGGTTTTTTTTTATGTATGTCCTCGTACGACAAAACAACATGCAGTCCGTGGTCTAACGTGGGGGGGGAAGAGCCTAGAGCTTGAAATAGACCCCGAACTGCAGTTTCACAATCAGAGCATCCCTTTTTTTTTGAGACTAAATGATCGTGTGGGACTATACGCGGGTATGCCAATAGCATTCAAAAGCTGCACGGGCAGATTGACTTATCAGGTACTAAAAAGATCGCAATGTTGGTTCTGGTTTTTATCATGTGTCTGACCACAAATGTTTATATCCGCGTGCAGTTCCATTTAATGACATGCAGCAAGAAAAGCTGGTTTTTTTTGTTTTGAAAATAAACAGCGGCGATCAATAACAATACATGTGATTGCGTTTTTTTTAAGGGATAGCAGCAACAATGATGAGGAATAATGAGCTCTATAGCAATATTTTTTAGCAGTGATAGATGGTGTAGACATCTATTCTTTGCATAATTAACATCTAGAGTAAACAAATGACTGAGCCATCATCAACACTGTTACTCATAGTGCTAGGAGTAGCTTTTACTATTATTTTATTCACTGAGGGGTAAAAAGATTACAAATATTCAAATATTAGGAATGACACGCTGAATGAAAAGAAAGGGGATTTCAGGTTGTTTGTAGTTGACAGGCAAGGCCACAAAAGACAGTCGTGTATATGAAGAAATTTTAGGGTGTATGTAAAAGGCAAAATACGTATAGTGAAGAACTTGGAGTATGTATGTATGTACATGATATAATAATAAGACAAAGTATGTGTGTGTGTGTGTGTGTGTGTGTGTGTGTGGGAATCATCAAAAGAACAAGTGTTTTGGGGGAGGGGTGAAGGGGAGGTGTATGTAGAAGAAGAAGACGTGTTTGTGGGTTGTACAGAATGGCGTTGAATGTCATGCTAGTAAAAGAGCGATGACGAAAAACAAGGTGCAGAACGAGAGATAAAGAGAGGATTTTTGATTTTAAGGGTGGTTGGTCGTCATGTGGGACATCAAGTATGTTTTGCGTGCAAAGGCTGCGCCGCATACAGTGCATTCGAACGACTTTTCGCCAGTATGGACAGCAGAAACATGTCGGTCTCGATCGTGCTTGCGCGCAAACCCTTTCTCGCACACGTTGCAGCTGAATGGCTTGAGCCGGTTTTTGTCGTGCGTGAGCTGATGTGTGCGCAAGTTGTAGGACCGGCTGAATCGCACATGGCAAATGGGACACACATGGGGTCGGTTATTGTACGCGTCCGCTTCATCAACAGCATTGTTCTTCTGGACTTTCTTTGGCACAGTACATGTGGGTGCTGCTGCTGTTCGTCGACGCTTCGATTCGCGCTGTTTAGTGGTGGTAGTAGTAGTACTTGGTACGCAGTGTTCATCATCATGGTCTTGATCTTCTTGATAATTGACTGCCGTAGCACATCGTCGTCGCTTTCTGCTTGTTGTTGTTTGTTCTGTTGCAGTTGCTGCTGTAGTCGAATTAGTATCTGTGGCTGTTGACGATGTTGCTTCTTCTGTTGTAGATGTCTTTTCTTTTGTTGTAGATGTTGTAGTAGTAGTAGTAGTAGTAGTAGTAGTAGCCATATAGTTGCAGACAAAAGAGGAGAAGGAAGATGGTGAAGAAGCGTTTGCTTGCAGCTCTTCCATTTGAGCGCATGGTGAGGGTGCCTCTTGTGACTGTGGCTGCTGCGCACAATCATTCTGATATTGTTGTTGTTGTTGTTGTTGGTGAACTGGTTCATAGATGGAACCAAGCGAAGGTGACGACGAGCGTGCCTCTTGTGACTGTGGCTGCTGCGCACAATCAATCTGATAGTGTTGTTGTTGTTGGTGAACTGGTTCATAGATGGAACCAAGCGAAGGTGACGACGAGCGTGCCTCTTGTGACTGTGGCTGCTGCGCACAATCAATCTGATAGTGTTGTTGTTGTTGTTGTTGGTGAACTGGTTCATAGATGGAACCAAGCGAAGGTGACGACGAGCGCGATGCGTAATCAAAAGTATGAGTCGTGTCACAAGAAGATGAAGGTGATGAAGGAGCAGTAGAAGGCGTGGCTGGATTGTCATCCTCGGCACGGAGTTCCTCTTGCAGGACTTTTGATGGGATGACCAATCTGGATGGGTTGCCGTCGAATGGGACGAAAGGGTCCATGAGCACGTCAGGACAATCGTAGGGGACGTCCTTTGACAAGAATTTGCTAATCTGGCTTGATGAGATGTAGTAGGCTGAACCGTCGAACAAAGGCGCGAATATCGGTGCCAACGCAGGAGGACATGCTATGTCGATCATTTCCGGTGAGATTGCTGCTAGTGGTTGTGCTGTGAATGCTGTGGAAGCAAAGTCGATGCCAGAAGAAGCGTCAAGATAAGGTGATGTGTCAAGCGGTAGCGATGGAGGGAACGACGAGTCGTAGTAGTGTGGAAAGCCGTCTTGACCGTTTGTAAAGTACAAGTTCTCCATAGTGCTGCTGCTAGTGTCAAATGATAATCAGCGTTTGATGTTCCTTATCATTTTCAAACCATCACTGCGGCGCCGCAGTTTTTGAAAAGAGAGGGAGTGAGGGAATCCTTACGTTCTGTATGTGCCTGGGGCGAGCGTGTATTTGATTGCAAGAAAGAATGTGTGAGCTTTGTAGAGTAGCAAAAGTAAGGAAAAGAAGAGATCAAATGTGAGGAGTGGGAAACCAAAGAGGCGCTCTCTTTTTATATACTTTGAGGGGAACATGCCGGAAAGGGAAGCCAACAATGGGAATTTGACTCAGACAACCCGCGAAAGGGACGCCGTTGCCATAGCAACCGCTGCAGTCACTCGTGAGTTTCCACGCGTTTCGGCTCTGGTCCAAACTTGTTTTTTTTTTGGACTCAATTTTCTACGCGTCCAAACTGCGGCGCCACCCACCCACCACCACCACATGCATGTGTTGCGCGCCGTACTCGTTCTTTTGGAGGGTCATCTGGCCACCGACTGCTGCTGCTGCTGCTGTTGCACTCTAAGATGAGATCGGCCTCGGCACAAGAAAAAACAGGTGAAAACGTGGCATGCTCTATGCCAACAAGAACAATAAACTCGAACTCGAGTCTTGGCCCTATTCCCCCACACTACTTTGACCTTGGCAAGTGAACCACGCACATGGGAGACGGCTTACGTGGCGTTTCGACTAAATGACATGTTTTTTTTTTTGCGTTGCTTCACCCCATGTGGAACAGACCTGCCTTGGCCTTTCTTCTTTTCCTGCTAAGCATTTCTTAAGGATGATTAGAGACACACACTCACTCACACCTTTTTTTTGTTCGTTGACTCATGGCTGGCCTATGAACACGGCGCTTTCTCCCGCGTAACACAAGAACGGCGACGATGACGACGCATCCAGCAACACCTTTTTGTTTTCCTTCCCACACTTCCCCCCTTTGTTTTTTTGTTCCTCCATAATACTGTACTCAGGCTGCAGGGCTGCTAACGACGACGACAACAACAACAAAAAAGAAGCAGCCCTTTCGTTCTTTTCACCATTTTGAAATAATGTTCCTGATAAAAAGAAAAAGGGGGTGGGTTGTTCTAGCCTAGTCAGTTGTGACAGATTCATCCCGATCTAGCTTTTTTTTTTTTCGGTTCAACTTGTTTCTTTTCTCGGTCCTTTTTTTACACTACTCTTTTTTTTAAACTTTCACTGCTGAACTACTATATCAGTATTCATTCTATTTATTTACAAGTACATAAACTGGCAACACTTACTTCAACAACAACAACAACAACAACAACGCTTATGCATGAGCTAGCCCTTGCGGATCTAATGGGTGTAAAATTGTCCATCGGTACATTCTTACTATAAGCTTCACATACATTGCCTCCCGGGTTAACTCTCTTTGTCTTTTTTTAACAATACACAAAAAAAAAAGTCAAATCGATGGAACAATCGAGTCAATTGGAACGGATAGCTTCGGCATTGAAGAGTAAAGATTTGAAAGCGTTACAACAACTTGCTCGGATGCCCGGAGGATACTTGCTTGACAGTGTACGGAGAATAGTCTGGTATATATATATATATATATTGTATACAAACCCTATTATATGAGGGATTTGATCCGCCTATGTACATGTGTGTATGTGTGTGTATATATTGGAAACACTAAGACAAAGAACCATGATTAACAGGCCTATTTTGCTACACACTCATCATGGCTGTTATGTGGATGAGAAAGGAAGTGGTACCGTATATCTCTCTTTCTACATTTCTGATCGTATAGATACAATGGTTGGAGGTGGGAAAAAGGATGGATTGATCTGACTTTCCCTATTCTTTTTTCTCTTCCAGAGAAAGACTTGGCTGATCCAATACAAATATCTAAAGACATCGACCGTTCACTCTATTACTATCCGCGAGGCAAGTTTTCTTATATCCAGACAGTGCGAAACATACGATCTCGTCATCAGCAATCGTCATCTGATTTGAACTTTTTTTTTTTTTTTGGTGTGCCGCTGCATGTGTTTTACGTTATCAGATATATCACCCGACTTGAAAGCACAAAAGCAAAAGGAACTCCATAGCTTGATCGTGGAGATACTGTGGCGAAACCCTCGATTAAAATATTACCAGGTAATCATCCAAAAGTGATGCCATCCAAAAGTGATATGGAATTTCAAAATGGAAGGGGAAGGGGAGACATTGTTCAAAGCGTCAGGGGATCATTAAAAGCCAGGTTTAAATGCGGATGATCCAAAGGGATTCCACGATATATGTAGCTGTTTTCTGCTGGTCCTCGGAAAGAAGGATGCTATTCCTGCAGCAGAGAACGCTGCCTTGTTCTTTATCAGAGACGGAATGCTGGACTCGTTTGATCCTATCTCCAAACAGTTGCGGTTGATGAGTTCGCTTGTTCAGTATGAGGATAGCGAGCTCACGGATCATCTTGACAGGTGGTTGAAAGGGGAGAAAAAAAAGCGTGGTGGTGATGTGTGTGTGTGTGTGTGTGTGTGTGTGTGTGTATAAACTTGTGCTAACCATCTTGTTTTTTTGTGTATAGATGTCATATCATGCCGTATTATGCATTAAGCTGGGTATTGACTTGGTTCAGTCATGATTTCGAACAATTCGACAAGGTTGCCCGGTTATTTGACTTATTCATCTCAAGTTCTCCTCTGATGCCTATCTACTGTGCAAGCTCGGTATGGGGTTCTTTCTACATTTGGGATAGAGCAAGGACAGGGGGATTATTAACCGGAGAAGTGGAATCATCAGATCACGTTATTACGACGGAAAGAGTTTCTCCGAGCAGATCAAGACCACTTGCATGCGCTGATTACGCATATCCCGCAAGATATGGATCTGGACAAGATTGTGGAAAAGGCGGTTGAACTAGAACAACGCTATCCGCCTTTGGAACTACAAAAGCGAAGTGGGTTATGGCTACATGAAGAGTAAGCTCGTGTTTTGTTTTGCAACAGTTTTTTCTGGCGTTGGGACCCCGAGAGTGTAATGTCATCTTATCCGCTTGACTCACACAAACACTACTACTTTATATTCTAGATCACCGGTCAATACCTGGCAAAAGGACTGGGAGGTGTTGAGATGGAATAGCGTGCCTGACCGGATTCAGGCAGATCGCTACTTGAGCCATCCAATACCCAAGGAAGAATGGGAGGATGAAATGTTGGCAAAGTGGATGGCAGAGCGACAGCCGCCCATGGATGATGATGATGATTTCATATAATTCGACTCTCCTTTGTGGTCTCTTGAACTGTTTACTATTATTATTATTATTATTATCGTTGCTTACATATTATTGCCATTTGCTCTTCTTTAATCGTTTATTATATATAACTCTTTCATATACACACTTTTATCATTAGCATTATCATCATCATCATTCAGCGACAACAAGAATCACGCACACCGTATATCCAACAAACATCCAAGGTCTTGTACTTTTTTCCGTCTTTCAGCATTTATAACTGTAGTAGATAATGTGCTTTCTAATAAATATATAACAATGTATGATCTTCTACTTGTTTCAAAAACACTTGCTGTGCCTTGATCTACTTCCAACATGCATACATCTAGAGTAAACAATGAAAAGTAATCAACAGTTCTGAAAACAGTTTATTTGTCGCACAAGTACAAAAAATCCATGCAGAATAGCCCAAACATGCCAAATTCCGACCACCAACAAACTAATAATAGGATCCTAAAGAGTGAAACGTGTGGATTGGGGAGCTTTACAACGGCAACAAAAAGAATGAGCTATAAACTTATTCAAAGACATGGTTCTATATCATAATTTAACCAAACATTGTGCACACAAGCATTGGCTTTTGCAAAGAATAAGTGTCATCACACACGCTATAATGTTGCTTTTGGCACACTACTTGAAGCAACAGCGTCAACCGAACGAGATGCTCTGCTTGGGCAATTTTTATTTATTTATTTTTTTACTGGGCACTTCACAAGTACCCATCGTACGCCATCCAAAAGTTGTAAAAGAATGGAAATCATGTGTGCTGATGTCCTCCTGGGTACCATTTCATAATAAGCTGATACAATCCTTTCTTTCGGTCATGGAGGTTACAAGCACCAGTCTAGAGTAAAGAATGTCGGAGAAACGTGTCAAGGATAAGCCCGACTCGCGTGTTTTTATATATTTTGTAGCTCATGTATTTTGATGTTAAAGCATCCGAGATGCAAGCGAAAATATAGTCTTTTGTGCCAATAGACACATCGTCGTTGGTCAGCTCGGTTTGGAGTAAGCTCGACTGTTGTTGGAATTGCGTAAAATGATGTTTTACAGAGTATGAGTATGATGAATCTTTGTATGATCATGCAGCAGGCTAGATCCGTGGGGACCTAATATATCTCGCGCTAATCAATGAGCCAAGAAAGCAGCAACACGGATGACTCGGTTGTTTGCACAAAAGTGGTGGTTTGATTGTAGACCGTAACAAAAAACTGCTCAATGTCTGCCAATGTAAAAATCAAAAGTTTAACGTTTCACGAATCTGACAAGTTACCATCTCGATCCAAATTTCTACGAAGAACAGTTTTCCGCTCCAGTGCATATACACACATGACACTAATAAGAGCTGATAACCTCATCGAGGATCTTTCACTGCAGTTGCCAAACCAAAAGTTCAAACACCAACAGTACCCCATGGAAAGAAACCTAATTCAAGCTCGGGTTTTTGATAAGGTTCAATCCCAGATTGGTGGAAAAAAAAAAGGGTGCTGACGACCGAACACGTCGTCGTCTTTTTTTCTTTCTTTTTGTTGAGCTGATCAGTGTGTCCCTGGATTTATTTAGATAAACTTGTTTGCGAAATGTAAGACACAAAAGAATCGCGATCTATGAATGTGAAAAGAAGAGTCATGGCTCTTTTTTTTTTTTGAATTGGGTTGTTTTTTCTCTGTATTATTTTCTTTTTTCTAATTTTTGTGGGGCGGAATGATGGGGGTGGAAAATAACGTGTATAGGACGCAAACACTTATCCAGTCCAAATCGATCGCGGCGGCCTCGCTCCACGTGCCGCTGCCACGTCAATGGCATCTCTACGTGTGGCCATTTGCTACCATCCTGTATCCTGTGTGGACTTATATCTACATGGTCAAGTACGATGAATACATTGTCTCGCAAGAATGGACGTTTGTCACTCTTGGTAGTATCGTTACGTTGCACGCCCTCTCGTTTTTGGTGTGTCAGTGGAGCGTGTCCATCAAGGCTCTGCTCACTTGTGTCAAGGTTTGCTTCTTTTTTTTTATATCTCTTTCACATTGTAAAGATTGGGGATATGGGAAGAATAAAAAAATTGGTGCATGGACTCACCCCAAAGAATGTATGATAGGAACACAATGTACAAAAGGCTACTGTGATTAAGGTTGTTCCGTTCCGTCATCAAGGTACCGGTACCTTGTGTGAGATCCATCATGGCGAGGCAAGTTTTGATAATTTTGAAAGCATACATGGCGGACATGAAAGCAAATGGGAGAGCTAATTTTTGAAAAGGGCTTGCCAAATATTTATTATAGAAGGGTGATATCTACTTTTACTTTCAACAAAACAAATTCATTTGGAACCCGGATAAGAAACAGTTTGAAATGCTGGTCTATCCATCGGATTTGTGCCCACCTGTTTCAGCCTATCAGTCGCTCAAGGGATTGGAAACCAAAAGTCAGATCGAGAATGTACACGAGACTTATGGTCCTAACCGGTAAATGCTTTGCTCCCCTTGACAATTTGATTTACTACTAAATGGGATTATCTGTTTTTTTTAATGTGGGGTTCGCTCCGGCTAGATTCGAAATTCCTGTTCCCAAATTCATGGATTTGTTCAAAGAACATGCTGTGGCCCCTTTCTTTGTCTTTCAGATCTTTTGTGTTGGCTTGTGGTGCTTGGATGAATACTGGTATTATTCGCTGTTTACACTGTTCATGTTGATCGTTTTTGAGGCCACGGTTGTCTTCCAACGTCTCAAGACCATTGGTGAATTCCGTGCCATGAACCAAAAGCCGTTCACCGTCTATGTCAAGCGTGAAAAGAAGTGGATCCAAATTGAAAGTGATGAATTGCTCCCGGGTGATGTAGTATCTATTAGTAAGTCATACTTGAGGGGGGGGGGCTCTTGGTCGGTGGATCTATGCTAAACCTTGAAAATGTAGCGCGTACCAAGGAGGATCAAGGTGTCCCTTGTGATTTGGTTATTTCGGATGGCTCGTGCATTGTCAATGAAGCCATGCTTTCCGGTGAATCTACTCCTTTGCTAAAGGTAACTACTACGTAATAGCTATGGGGAGGGGGGAGAGAGGATGATTTAACGAAAGAAGAGAGGCTCATGACTTTAAACTATCTAGGAATCTGTCGCGTTGCGAAACCCTGATGATGACTTTGATCTGGTCAACGTTGACAAATTGAACGTGCTCTATGGTGGCACCAAGGTCTTACAGGTCACACCCCCCATGAACGATGCAGCTCCTGATGGTGGATGTATCTGCACTGTTGCTCGCACAGGCTTTGGCACGTCGCAGGGTAACCTTGTGCGTACCATGATTTTCTCGACGGAACGCGTTACTGCCAACAACTTTGAAGCTCTGCTGTTTATTCTGTTCTTGTGTGTCTTTGCCATTGCTGCATCGTCCTATGTCTGGCAAGAAGGTGTCAAGAACGATCGCAAGCGATCCAAGTTGCTATTGGACTGTATCTTGATCGTCACGTCCGTCGTACCACCTGAGCTGCCCATGGAGCTTAGCATGGCAGTCAACAGCAGTCTTGTTGCATTGGCAAAATATGGTAAGGATCCCCGCGGGGAAAGAGAGATACAGGAAGCCAAGAAGGGTATGATGACTCAATTGGGATTTTGAACAAAAAAAAAACAATGATAGCCATCTACTGTACCGAACCGTTCCGTATACCATTTGCTGGCAAAGTGGATGTCTGCTGTTTTGATAAGACAGGTACCTTGACCGGTGAGGACCTTGTCTTCGAAGGTGTTGCATCTGCAGAGTAAGTGTACAGCACCGCATGCATCATTCTACAATCCGAGATCTCCTTTTTCTCTAAAAAAAAAACTGTCATGACACTAGTCCCAAACAGTCGAGCACCGAGCTTATGGCGGCTACAGCCGTCCCCAAGGCAACCCAATGGGTCCTGGCGTCTGCACACGCTCTTGTGCTACTGGAAGATGGCGTTGTTGGGGATCCGATGGAAAAGGAGACGCTCAAAGCGCTCGATTGGGACCTCGGTTCGCGCGAAATTGTTGCACCGAAAGAGTCCAAGAAAAAGGAAAATCTGCAAATCCGTCGTCGATTCCAGTTCTCGTCTGCCTTGAAGCGCCAATCGTCGATTTCCATTCTGGTCCATCCTGACTTTGGTAAGCACAAGACGTTTGCTGCTGTGAAAGGTGCTCCAGAAACGCTCCGTGACATGTATGCCAACGTTCCTGATAACTACGATGACACCTATCGCTACTTTACCCGTAAGGGAAGTCGTGTATTGGCGCTGGGTTATAAGTTTTTGGAAGATGGGTTATCGACTGACCAGGTACGAAGGGAGGGGGAGACACACATTCTCTCTCTTATCATTGATCGAAGGCATTTCTCTCCTTTAAGTGTTGACTGATAACACATTCTTTTTGTTTCGTTTTGGGTGGGGTATCACAGATTAATAACTTGTCCCGTGATTCGGTTGAATCTGAGTTAACGTTTGCCGGCTTCATTGTCTTTTCATGTCCGCTTAAAGAAGATGCCATTGAAGCGTTGAAGGAGCTCAACGAGTCTTCGCATCGATGCATCATGATCACCGGAGACAATCCGCTGACAGCATGTGCAGTGGCACGCCAAGTCGCCATTGTGGAACGCGACGTGCTTATTGTTGATAAGCTTCAGGACCAGACAGTGTTTCACTCTGTCGACGAATCGATTCGATTCCCAGTGGATCCTGAATCGCCTTTGGACCCAAAGATGTTGGACAAGTACGACCTTTGTCTCACGGGTGCAGCCATGAACGATTTCATGGATAAGCCAAACATGAAGATCCTGCTCGAACACACTTGGGTGTATGCGCGCGTGTCACCATCGCAAAAGGTAATACTGGGGGTAGGGGGGGGGCTGATGATCCGTTTGGACCGTGGTTGTTGTTTGTTATCCATGAGGAAACGCTAAAAAGAAAAGGAAAAAAATGGTGCGTTAGGAATATCTACTGACGGGACTGAAAGATCTGGGGTACACGACGTTGATGGCTGGTGACGGCACCAATGACGTTGGCGCATTGAAGCAGGCACATATTGGCGTTGCGCTTTTGGACGGTACACCTGAGGATCTGAAAAAGATTGCAGAACGTGCCAAGATGGATCGTCTCAAGAACATGTACGAACAGCAAAAGAAGCTAGCTGAACGTTTCAAGTCGCCTACACCGCCGCCTCCCCCGGCCATTGCTCATCTGTACCCCGAACATGCCCAGCGTGCCCAGCAGCAGCAACAACAGGTCGCCAACATGACACCGCAACAGCGTCGTCAGATGGAGCAGAAGCAGAAGCTCGAGAGCATGGCTACTCACTTTATGGAGGACATGGACATGGAAGAACCGCCTACCATCAAATTTGGCGATGCTTCGGTCGCTGCCCCTTTCACTTCGAAATTACGCAATGTCATGGCAGGTAAAAGAAGAGTCGATTGGGGGAAGGGGGGGAAAGAAAAGAATGTTCTTTCTCGGGTTATTAGCATTATCATGCAAGGTTACTAATGCATCTCTCTTGTGTGTGTGTGTGTGCGGGGAAATGATTAGTCAACAATATTATCCGTCAAGGTCGCTGTACGCTCGTTGCAACGATCCAAATGTACAAAATCCTTGCCCTCAATTGCCTCATTTCGGCCTACAGTTTGTCTGTGCTCTACCTGGATGGCATCAAATTTGGTGATCTTCAGGTGACAATTTCGGGTATGCTTATGGCAGTCTGTTTCCTATGCATTTCCCGCGGCAAGGTAAGAAAAAAGAGTGTGCAATTACCCTTTTTGGCTTTTTCGAATGGCCCATGGGTGCATCCGTGTAACTTTTTGCAATCGTCGTCGTCGTCGTCCATCCTTTTTGTTTTTTTAGCCTCTGCAAAAGCTTTCCAAGGAGCGACCTCAGCCAAACATCTTTAATCCGTACATTATCCTGTCAGTTCTTGGCCAGTTTGCCGTCCATATTGCTGCGTTGATCTATGTCAACTCGCTTGCCAACTATTACGAACCGTAAGTGCATTCTTTCTGCTACATGTGTGTTTTGCTTGCTGCTGCTGCTGCTGCTGCTGCTGCACATGGTGTCTGCGGTTTATTAAGTAGTGTCAACTCTACTTTAGACCCAAAGAGGTGGATTTGGAAGGAGAATTCGAGCCAAGTCTTTTGAACAGCGGTGTATACCTTATCCAGTTATCGATGCAAGTATCAACCTTTGCGATCAACTATCAGGTGAGAAAGCTTGTTTTCGGTTTTTTTTTTTTTTCGGGGGTTTGCATGATTGAGTGAGTAGTGCTTGACTAAATACTCTTTTGTGCTATGTGGTATAGGGATACCCATTCCGAGAACGTATCCAAGATAACAAGACCTTGTACTATGGCCTTCTTTCTGTTGGAGGCATTGCACTGGCTGGGGCCACCGAACTATTCCCCGAGGTGAACGAGCAGCTCAAATTGGTCAATTTCCCAAGTGCGGTAAGTACCCAAATTTTTTTTTTCTTTCATGCTATCATGAAGCTAATCAGTAATCTCACGTGGCACCTGCAAGTTCCGGGACAAGTTGACATTCTGTATGATTCTCGACTATGGTGTTTCTTATCTCATTGAGGTTGTTACCAAGCGACTGTTTGCCGATAACCGCGCCAAGAGCATTGCACGACGAGGACGCGAATGAACACGACTTGAAAGAAATGCTTAATGTAGACTCTCTTTCTTTCTTTTAATATATATACAATCTAGATAATAATAAAAAAAGGGGGCGTGTATTGAACAAGCAACTTGGTCGGGTGGGAGGAGGAGGAGGAGGAGGAGGAGTGAGCCAGAGGAAAGATCGGCGCACGTATTATAATTTTAGTTCAGTGTAGTGGGAGAGAGAGAGAGAGAGAGAGAGAAGAGAGGGAAAAGGCATAGCAACACAGAAAGCGTGGTAGTTTCGCTTATGCCATTTTGTGTCTAGGTAACACCACTCGTAATTGGTTGTCACGGGGACCGTTCCCGCCAAACTTTTTTTTTTCCCTTAGTCCAACCCCGTGATGTGGGCCAGCTCGAGTATGATCACATTTCTGGTTGCACATTCCCTGATCATGTAATACACAGACGCTTGTGTGCGACTCTTTCTACTGCTTGTACACACACACACACAGAGTCTCTCTCTCTTTTACAAAGTGCGTGTGTACGTGTGTTTGGGTAGGTGTGTGGAAGAAGGAAAAAAAAAAAAATAAATAGAATCTCTTGCATCAGCGAATCGCTTTTTCCTTCCTCCTCCTCTTTTTTTTGTTTTCTTCTTACTTTGCCCTCCCCCATAGCTCTTTTTTCAACAAAGAAAACGGACACTTGCCCCCTTATCAAATACCCACAACAAAAACATTACGTAACAAAAATGCACAACGTTATTTGCAACAAGTCCAACCCAAAGTCTACTACTACTGCTGCTGCCCACGATGACAGTAGCAAGAGCAAGGTGTGCAGTGGTCGTGGCAAGAGCTACTGCTTGGTCCACCGACGGTATTTTGAGACCAGCTGGTGTCCTGACTGTAGCCGTCGGTCCTGACTGTAGCCGTCGTAAGTCTTTCTCTCTCTCTCCTGTGGGATGGGGGGGGTCTGTGCTTGTTATTCTAACCTGTCGATTGTTTTTGTTCAGACTAAAGTTACACTGGCAAAAAAAAACCAAAGCCGCCCAGCAAACAAAAAAGAAAGAAAAAAACGATAATTCACAGTATATTTTTGTTGTTTGAAAAAGAACAAAAACAAAAACACAAAAAAAAAAAAAGGATCCCCAAAAAATTACCATAGACTTATGCCCCCCACACCCACCTAACCCCCATCATCCATCATCCATCATCCATCATCCATCATCCAAGCCCATGATACCAAAAAAAACAATGTATGCCCTTGTTCTTCTTCTTCAGCCACCGGCCCCATCTCCCATCTAATGTAGTAATAGTAGTTTATATCAAACAACACACCCACACACACACACACATTAAAAGAACTGATCTTTTTCTGGCTTCTATATCCACCACTCACTCACGCTCGCTTGCTTGCTTGTTCATGCGTCTCTCTTATTGTCCGGAACGCACCCCATCCAATAAAGCGTGGTGTTTTGCTATTTTAATAGTAATAATAACAGTAATAATAGTAGTAATCTTTCTGGAACCGTCGCCCTATACACCATCCCTATTCTGCACACGGACCCTCCCGTTTGCAGAGATTCACGTGTACAATTTGCGATGCTATCAAGTGCCAGTGCACCCGGCGATCGGCGCGCCCTATTTTCTGTTTAGTGTCTCCCCCAGGGCCACACACGACGACACACACTCTCTTCATCTCTAAACCACTTGTCTAGATGATCAGCGTACTGTGATGGGTCGACCCTATCTCTTTTTTATGTTTTCTTGTTTGTACCTCCAAAGGTTTTTCTATCATGGGCTTAAAAGCCCGTTCGATCGTACCACCGCAAATTTTGAGAGAGAAAGCTTATAGGACAGATCCTCCCCCCCCCGACGAAGGGGGAAAGATAATACGTGGTGGCAAGTAAAGCGTGGCCCTTGCGTTTATTATACAGTTTATATGTACTTGGCTGGTGATTTTCTCACAAGTACCATCTTGCTTCAGCCTAAACATGCGTACATCGTCGTCATTTTGCATGAGAGCTCTTTCGTTGTCGCAAAGCAACTAATGATCAAGAAGAAGAAGAAGAAGAAGGGAGCAGTAACAAAGTCATGTGTACTCTCTATTTTACGTTCCGGCTAATCCACGATCTTTGGCTATCTTTAGTTTGGCTGGATATATCTTGTCTCCCTGGGGCTTAACTCTTTTTTCTGTCGCTTTTGTATCCATCATCGTAATCGAAACTCGAGTTTTTGAGGTTGCACATATGCATAACTCTTTTTGGCTCGGGCGACACGTGTGCTTGATACTTCACTTTTACCATCGGTCCTGCTGTATTCTCAGAATTTGCATCGTGGCTCTTGAGTAAAAAAGAGATCAGGTAATCTGTGATACATCCAATAGGAAATGTTCTTATTGGGATGCATTTACTACTGCTAGTCATTGAGCAGCAGCAGCAGCAGCCCGTCTAGCATTGCTGAGAAGCTTGGCTATCGCATTTCTATCCATATGTAGAGTAGCGTAGAGTCAGATACTCTCTTTTATATACAATGGAGGAACGACTGCTTGGGTTGGATGGCCCATCTAGAACATCACCATCATCAACAACGTTAGACCTTGTGGATACATGGTGTTGTGCACCCTGTAAATACTAAAAATATCACTGCACTACATAATATTGTGTTATATGATTACACAAAATAGAAAGGCATCTGTCTTGCCCTTTCATTTTCAAAGAACTCTTGTGTGTGCAACATACTACAACAATTGTTATGTTGTGGCAGAGTCATAGTGGTTTTGTTATATATACATCACTTTTGTTTCAAGCTAGAAAAAGTCTACTCCATGCTCTTAATAAGTGGTCCACGTATCACAGCATACATCGAGAAACCACCCAGTCCCAAAATGGGATAGATCAGGCTTGTTTTGGATATGTCGTTGTGGAGAAGACTCTTCGAGAGAGAGATAGCACATAGAATAGAGCAGATGGGATTATCATATGGGAAAAGGTCTAGAGCGTGTACACCAAGGAAGTAACGGCGATCACCAGATAACACATCAACTTTATGGTTGGCTGGCTGGTGGTGCAGAAGAAGCATGTGTACAGCTTATAGCGATCTCCCGTTTGAAAAGCCAATGTCATCATCCTTGCTCTTTTTCGTCAAGAACTTGTTTAAACTCAAAAATCGAGGGTTTATCTAGTTTGATCAAGTGAATCCAAATACCAAAAGACAACCAATCACCATTGCCATTATGTATCCATTTGTGCACGCGTTGGAACAAGAACAAACGGATGATCCTTTTATCGTATAAGAAAGCGAGATAGTTTTGGATTTCTATGTGTGTGTGTGTGTGTGTGTTTATGTGGTGAGAAACTCCTAGTTAGCAGCAGTAGTAGTAAGCAGTAAGTAGCAACTCAAGAGGGGGCTTCGATTTAGCATGTGGGGGATCCTTAACTAAGATTATTCAGCATTGCTGTGCTCCATTTACGTGTGAACACACTTCCAGATATGTCTGTCAATAAGAGCGAATGACGACTAATAACAACGTTTAGAATGATTTTCGTGTGTGTCTGTGTCTGTTATCAAGCTCACGCGACCTGGCGTCAGCGGGCTACATCTTAAAAGAAGGAGGGTGTGAAGGAAGGATCATGGGATTACTTTTTGCGTAAAAAGTCGGATGGATTCCGGTCTGTAATCTTTATTTTTGGGTGAGAGCTTAAAAATGGGTTCCGCCCTTTTCTCGTTTCACGTAAGGGTGGGAATTGTTGGGAGGAGGGTTTCCGCTTTGCATTGGGCCCCGTGAACAACAACCAAGTCCCCCACAGGTATGTAAACTTGAAGTTGTTGGATTAGTTAGAGCAATGCTATCCAAGACGGTGAATTGCCACATGATAATTCGACTGTTCTACAATGTACGCGTCTTGTGGATAAAGTGCACGGATCGTGTGGCAATGCACAACAGTATCGGTCCTTTAGCCGAGCCCAAGCATTTTATGTGCCATTGTATCGTATACTTTTGAGAAGCAAGCACAAGAAGAATCTGCTCATGGCTACAGAAAGTTGGCTATATAATTGGTTTAACTTCTGAAGACGCTCGTAAAGTACCAATCTACTATGCCAGGCTATTGTAGAAAACTACTGATCTAGAAGCACTCCAGCGGCTAGGAAGGGGTGAAGACTATATCGCGCTACCCCTCGCCAGCTGCTGTCGATTAAAAGGAAAGACGCCCCAGCACAAGTACATGAACCTTGAAACAAACGCATTCAGTACGATGGTACGGATTCAGAAGAGAGCAAAAAGAAGAGGAGACCCATCCATCCTTCTGGGTTTATTCCGGTTTATTATCCTCGGCAGTGCGTTTCTCTAACACTTTATCAACCAATCCAAAATTCTTTGCTTCTTCTGCAGTCATGAAATAATCGCGTTCCATCATTTTTTCTACACGGGTGGTTGAATTGTTTCGTTGTACTGAGTCTCTTTTTTTTCATGCACTATACAACGAGAGACGATTGGAAGCAATAGAAAAAAATAGCACGTACCTATCGTATCAATATCACGGATACCAGTATGCTTTTGAAAAATCCTATTAAGTCGCTCGCGAACTCTTAGAATTTCACGTGCATGGATGGCGATATCGGATGCCTGGCCAGCAGCGCCACCCGACGGTTGGTGGATCATGATAGATGAGTTTGGCAATGCGTAGCGTTTCCCGGCCTCACCTATTTAGATATAGTAGTATAGGTTAAATGGGTATCTATCTCTATTCCAGTTATTTTTCTATAATGTTACCTGCGGCGAGCAACAGAGATCCCATAGAGCATGCTTGACCATTACACAGTGTCGATACGGGTGATTGGATGTACTAATAGTAAAAAGCCATTTATACTCTTATCAGATAAAACAAGTTTCATCCACTTAAATTAATCATTACCTGCATCTGATGATTTTGTATAGAAAACCATACGATTCCATAAAGGCCCGAGCGAAAAAGAGGAACAAAATATGAGCAAAAAACTCCAATTGAGAACAACACCATCACTCGTCCCCAACGAATAGTATTCACAAAGGCTATCAACAACTTACCGTGTCATAAATAGCCATGCCAGCTGTCACACTGCCACCAGGTGAGTTAATATAGAGATTGATTGGCTTTTCGGGGTTCTCTGCTTCAAGGAACAACAATTGTGCCACAATCACAGAAGCGACATTGTCGTCGACCTAGTAATTGATTTCGGATATAGCCCAGTACATAAGTACAGACATCCATACAATGGCCTGTCAAGTTATGAGGATCGAGCCATTTTTTTCCCAACTATCACGTACCGGTCCATTCAAACAAATAATGCGTTCCTTCAAAAGACGCGAAAATATATCATACGAGCGTTCGCCTCGACCCTGTAGGTATGTTTTGTTTTTTTAACGTGGTCAGTTCGCTCGCTCTTTAGCACAGCTACCCTTTACTATTTCTCTACATTACTGTTTGTTCAACGACAAATGGAATCAGAGCTTGACCGTGAAAACGACGTTGAAGTAAGGGCTATAAAACAAACCACACCCACAGTGGGTATTAGATGGTGTTGTTTTTTCTCATTGACAATACATTCTTTTTTTCATTTATCTGGCCATGTGTCATTTTTTATAGTACCCGATGTGTTCTTAAAAGTGATCGTGTAAACATTATGCGTAGTTGTAGTAGTGTGAGAATACGTGGTGTGCAGGTGAAAAGACGCGTTGCCCCTCTCTTTTACTGCTGCAACCCTATTATTTCGCACTCAGACCCAATCAGGCCCGCAAATCAGAGGCAAGCCTGCATTATTATGCTACCCTGAGTATTCAAGTACGACTGCTGCATGGTAGCAGTAGCTAGTACACTACTTTTGGATAACCTAGCCAACGTAGTAGCTACAACAACGCAGTCAAATACGATTCAATTCTTGTCGAGAACCTAGCCATAGTCCAATTGGACCCTCTCCTTTTACTTTATTCTTTTAATAATGCCGAGTGAGAAATAATAAAATGCGCAGGTACAGGAGAAACTGGAGCAGATGAACAAAGACAAAAAGAGAGAGATGACAACAGGTCTTACCCTTTGGAATGACACTAGAAGAAGAAGCGCAGCGACGGGATCGAGACAGAAAAATGTACCATCGTATCGACAGTCCCGCGTATTATCTTACTACCACGATAATCACAAAGAGATCACATATTGCATGTACATATTGCATACCAAAGTGCACGAATGCCGGAATTCCTGCGTACTCCAGTTTTCTACTGTATCGTTTCGTACCATCATCAAACAGTTATTAGGCGAAGTACTTGATCGTACGGACTTGCGGGACACATATAAAAAGTTCGATGATATTAGAGACTCAAAGTGTCGTTTTTTGAGTTCGTTGGAGAATTCACTTGAAGTTCTCGGAAATGCTCGTTAATTACATTTCTCAACAAAAGTAAAAAGGCTGTTTTGATCGTCCAGGAACACCCTCAGACTGCCACTTGTTTGCATATTCTGAACGACTCTGTCTCTCATAGCTAGCAACTCAATAAGGGTCTTTTGCCTTAGAAAAGTTTGAGCATACAGGTGCGTATCTACAAAGTTTTTCACCATTCTAAACAGATACAAGTTTTTTTTGTTCGCACTTGTTTGTATACTATGCTCCAAAATTCCAGTGCGGTCTGAATGTTTGCTCTGGCAGTAAAACGTCATGCAATGGTTGAGCAGTTACTACGGAGACAGAGAACAGATTAGCTCATCTTTTGGACGACGTATGAGCCGACACGACGCATTTTTTTCCTCTAGAATGACTTCATTGAACACTGCTGAGGCATCAGCGTTTTCTTTGCGCCGTGCAAATCTGGCTTTACCACCACACTTATACGTTCCTCTTATATTGGCGGCCCGTTGACGTCCCCAACATCACCCAGCACAACCTATCCAGCATACCCGACCTTAAAGCAATCCTCCAAGGGTTATGGTGTGGACATTCGCTATTGGCCTTTGACGCTCAGCCATCCGTTCCACGCTCTATCATCCAAACTTTTTGACGCGTCGACTGCATCGATCATGCATTCTTCCTCTGACGCCAGAAAGACATCAATGCTAGAAATTCGTCCTCCTTCCGCCTTCGGACTTGCCGACAAAGGACCAAGTCACCCCGCCCCCATCGCTCAACGGAAATTGAACGTTACGTCAATCGTCAGTACAGATTTTATTTTTCAAGGGTTTCTCGTAATACAGAGTATCTGGGCTCTCTTTCTCCTTTTTGTCTATACCAAAACAATGAATCAAGATCGACAATACAACACCAGTAGCACAACCCATCAACAAGATCAACGTAATAGTTCGTTAGCAAAGGCCGAACTCGAAACACCAGACCATCCAGAATCACCTAACGATCCGCTGTTGTCAAAAAGCGAGCCCAGCTGGATCAAAAAGGTCAAAGGCCACGTTGAAGAACTCGCTGGGATAATCACTCAAGAAGGAGATCTACAAGGCCGTGGCGAACAGTTGAAAATGGATGCAGATGCTGAACGTAAACAATAGATATGTGTAGCATACTAGTGATTCATTTGATCTGTGTTTGTGTGTATATTACATAAGAATCTTAATAAAAAGACATCAAAGAGTGGGGGGGGAATACAGCACTTTGATTTTATCTACTTATAAGGCCGACCAATCCGTGCACTGAGAAAGGCTGCCACACCCGCCATTAATGCACCGAACCGAAGTACCACACCAATGGCATCTGGAGATGCTTCTTCACCTTCGGACGCATTTTTCTCTAGAAAATGAAACATGATACTGGCAAAGAACGTGACAAGGAACTGCGGCGCCACAATGTACATGTTGTGGATTCCAAGCAAAACCCCTGCAGAAGGTGTAGTGGCATCCAATGCTGTTGTCACTGAAGACCGCCGTCGAGGTCCATTACCATTTCTGTTGCTGCCATCTTCTTGTTCCCGCTGTTCCTGTTGAAGCAGTCCTCGATTACTGCTTTCCGAAGACCGTCTATTGATATCATCATTGTCGTGTTCGAGAGGTGTCATGATCATTGACGAAGAGCCGGTTTCGAACTCCATTGAGGGTCGTTTTGTCGGGACTGATGTTAATTGCTGTTGTCCGTTGTCAACGGGCTGTTGTCGATCATGCATTTCAATCCCTCCGTTTGTTTCACGAGGCCCAGTAACGCTGTCATCATCGTCATCGAATTGCTCCACGAGCTGATAAAGCCCTCCTTCTGTGCCCAATCCGGCGCCTCCAGCAGCAAGACTGAGTCTGGATGACATGGCATGTCTATTCATGCCAACACGGTTTTCTGCGTCGAGCGATGGGCGACGACGACCTCCTTGAGCTTCACCATGTTCCATTTCTGAGATATATTCGCCCAACAGTGAGAATGGGGCCCACATGGTCAATGCCCAACTGATACCACAGATTCCTATCACGATGGATGCGCCAACTACATTGGATACAAATACTGTCGCAAGCATGGAAAGCAAGAAAACAATGTGGCCGAGCGTCCATGCGCGGGGAAGCGTCAAGAACGATATTTTGAGGTACCGAGATGGTGTAATTGAGTAGTATTTGCCTCTGATCTTGAACCGAAATGTCTGTGTCGTAGTTTCATCCACGCCATAGGAAGGCGAAACGATCCATGGCAAGACGAACGATGCAGCAAGCGAGACAAGTGAATAGACAAGAAATGCAAACGAGCCTGCGCGAGTTGCTTGTCCAAGCGAATCGTCTTGATTGGCCCCACCACCGTTCTGGAGTGCTGCTTGATCGTAAATCTCGGCAACCCATGTGGTTGTATAGAATAAGAACGGAAACCATCCGATCCATGCAAAGAATTGAACGTTGCAAATACGACGGATTGGTTTTGGTAAGTTCCAAATGTTGCCAGTGATGTCTGTTAACGCTTTAAAGGGTGCGCTCCATGAGTTCTTCTTTTTCCTATATAATTTGGATTCGTTTGAGTTTGTATAGTAATTGTGTCATGATAGCTATTAAACAAATCCATTCCATATGTGAAAAGTCTTACTTCGGTCCTTTCGTCAGAACCTTTTCCGTCACTGTGCTGCACGTAATGATATCTGATAGCACAAGGACAAAGGCTGCAATAACGCAGAGCACCTTCAGTTGTGTGTTTCCTAGGAACGGAAACGCTTTGACCAAATCTGCATAGCCCCTGGACAAGCACAAACACCAAATGTTAGTAAACAAATAGATACGTCTTTTTAGGACGATCACACTTGCATAAAGTAGCCTGCAACATTTCCTATTCCAACCATCCTTCCAGCCCACGCTGTTCCATCTTCTTGCTGTGAAGGCGGTAAGCAATCGACCAAAATAGCTCGACAAGATGCCTGGACTGTATTAAAGTCAATCAAATATTTAGTAATCATGCCAGAACAGCAATGAATCCACACACGATAAAGATCTATTTGATGTGTGCTCTGTTACTTGCCGCAATTAATGCTGAAATCCAAAATATAAATAGCGGCAATAGCGATCCCTATTGAAAGATGTTTAAACTGAATAGCAAATAAGAAACATATTTCTTTTCTTCACACACGAAACCAAATCATACATACTGTATCGCCGTCTTGTGTGCCACCGGTAAACAGCGCTGTAATTTCTCGAGTCCATCCAATGATCAGTAAGCTGATGACAACAATCACACTTCCTAGCACGATGAACGGCCTCCGTCGGCCAAATTTTGATGTGCATCGATCCGACACGACACCGACGATCGGCTGCATAAGGAGACCTGCGCACATGTTGGACAAACTTTAGTGTAAGGTCTGTGCGTCCACACATACATACCATGGGGGAAGCCTATAGTTTAACTCTAATGCTCTATTACCAGACAACGGCCCCGCAATCCACACCAGCGACATGACCGACTTGGTCAATCCCAGGGATAGCAAGTATGGTGTGCCTATAAATTTACCATTTCAGTAAGAAAGTTACACAGTATAATTTCAGCATATATCCTTCATTACCATAAGCCATTTCTACCGTCCCTTGAAATATTACGAGTCAGTTAACTACTTTTTCGTTTTGCTACGAGCAACCTAAAAGAAAAAACAGAAACAAAAGGAACTTACAAGTGAATTGGAGCCTAGAGGGATACACGAGAAATGTGGAAAAGATTGTCAGTCAGGAAATTTCGGACTTTGTGGATAGTAGGGCTCTTGCATGATATCTTTTCGCTCTTCTTCTCTCGAAATATCCTTCCCCACACACACAGATGCATATATAGAAAGACATACCCCGCTAAGCATATGGTAAGGAATACAATTTTACACATGCTGTTGGGTCCTTTGATATGGACCACTCCTTTGAGATACTGTGTGTTGTTTTCAGACTGTAACATGAGGTCTGAATCTTGGTACAGAAAATCGTCTTCGTCGTCCACCTCGGCATCGTGTGCTGCCGGTGCAAGGGCAAAAGCCGAGTCGTCGCGCTGTTGCTGGGTCATATGCGGTGCTACGCTCGATGAATCGGCTGCCTCCAAAGTGGCAGGAGTTGAGGTGTCGCCATCTATTGAATGCGATGGCTCGAGTGACATGAAGGAGCGCGAGTGTCGCTGTTGCCAAATTCAAGAGTGGGGGGAAAGTAGTAATGGGAGGAAGGAAAATAGGGAAAAAAACGTTGCAAATTGGGGAATAGTCAAAAGCGAGGGGTTAAATACGAATTCCTGTGTCTGGTGTGAGCCAAAAAAAAAAAAGAATTTTCGCGTTTGGTCTTTTACGCCCTATTACATTCTGTCACTTTTTCTCCTTGTCTCCTATGATAGCTTCTATAAAAACTCTGTAAAACATGCATCTGTTTTCACTATGCAAATGTTTTAATCCGGACTCTTTGACAAACGAGACAATGGTAAGCTGAAGGAAGGTGTTTGCCATGCAACACGTAGGGCATCCAAGCAGCAGGTAAGCACGACTACCATTTCTGGACTGCGGACTTTGACAAGAAGTTTTTTTTTTTTTTCTGCTGTCCTAAAATTTGCAACCTTTTGCTTTAACAAAAACCGCACACACTTTGTAAACATGATCTCGGCCATTCAGTGGATCCGTCAAGGTGCTGCGGCTCAAAACCCCGAGAAATTCAAGTTTGACGAAAAAGAATTCGAGCGGATCAGCAAGATCACTACAGATCGTCTTGGCGATGCAAAGGTTGACCTGAATGCCGCCCAACAAGCTGCCGCCATGGATGTTGACAGTGACAGCGAGGGTGAAGAGTAAGCGTTGTTCATGATAAAAACATGTAGCTCCTTAAAGAAAGGCCTCTGTCTGTCGAATAAATGGCTAATTTTATTTTGGGCCTTGCGTATATAGACAAGATAACAACATTAAGGACGATATGCAGGTGAATCCTAACGACCAAGTCAATGTTGATGAGGAACAACCCGAAGGTATATGTTTGTTACTTTGAGTTTAACACTAACTAAAAAAAAAAAACTATTAACATCGTACGTTTTAGGTGCTGCCGCTGGCTCGTTCTTGAACCGTAAAGACCTGGCATACTATGATAACCCAGACGAAGATCCTTACATCACACTGAAACACGATGAACAAGAGGAAGCTGAAGAGAGAGAAGAGTTGCAGGTGCTTGCTACTGATAACCTTTTGCTTGCAGCCAAAACCGAAGATGATGTTTCGCAACTTGAAGTTTACGTGTACGAACGGTCCGAAGAAAATTTGTATGTCCATCACGATATTATGTTGCCTTCGTTCCCTCTGTGTCTCGAATGGCTCGATTTCCATTGCGGTGAAAAGGCTGGACAGGAAGGACACGGCAACTATGTCGCCGTCGGCACGTTTGAACCCGATATCGAAATCTGGAACTTGGATGTCGTGGATGCCATGATTCCTCAAACAATCCTTGGTCAACAGCCTGGCGCCGCAAAGCCGAAAAAGCGATCAAAGAAACCTAATGCCAATTACCACGTTGATGCTATCATGGATATGTCATGGAACAAGCAGCACCGGTAAATCCCCTTTACTCTCCTCGTCGTGCCATATTTAGCACGTTCGGCAGAAAACTTACTTTGTGTATCCTCGACTTTTATTTCCTCACTGCTTTATACAGAAACTTCCTATTGTCATCATCGGCCGATGCGACCGTGAAATTATGGGATCTTACCAACTCGACCTGTGTTCAGTCATACAGCCATCATAAGGATAAGGTTCAAGCCGTGGCATGGAACCCAGTGGAAGCAACTGCATTCATCACCGGCTCGTACGACAAGACGATAAGTGTATTGGATGCACGAGCGCCCGAGAAGGCAACCGCTTGGAAACTGCAAAGCGACGTGGAATCGTTGGTATGGGACCCACATAACGCTACCAACTTTTATGCTGCTACCGAAGATGGAATTATCCAGTACTTTGATGTTCGTCAAGCAAATGGTGCAGCTGGTGGTAAACCATTGTTCACTCTGCAAGCCCACGATGGAGCTGTTAGTGCATTGGATGTAAACGCTAGCATTCCAGGATGTATCGCTACTGGTAGTACTGATAAGCAAGTCAAGATTTGGAACACGACGGATAATAAGCCAAACATGGTTACTAGCAGAAACTTTGAACTGGTAAGTTGAATTTTATGTGACTTGATAGCGAAGGGTTTGAGAAGAGAATTCATGGCTGAATTTTTCTCGTCCATATAGGGTCACATTTTCAGTGCAAAGTTCTGTCCCGATGCTCCTTTGGAACTCGCTATTTCTGGTTCCAACGGCAAGGTACATGTCTGGGACATGTCATCAAATGCTGGTGTTCGCCAGGTGTATGGTCAATAAGCATTGCCTTATCTGTACCTTGTTTTATTATCTTGCATCTCTCCCTCTCCCTTGTATCTCTTCATTCCATTTTATGTTTAACTCTTTCGCATCCCATATATACATAAAAGTACAACGCGTACAGCAACAATATATTCTATTAATATCAAAAGTAAAAGATAAGTTTTATCGATATTATATTCTTTGATTGGACCACGGTCGTGGCAGGTATAGCGTCCAATCTATCGGCACATTTAGATGGTAAAGTGTTTTACTTGTACATTATGTTCCTGGACGGTAATCTAGGAATGTTCTAAACTTATGCGCATTATTTCGTACTTATTAATAAAACACTTTACATTTTCTGTCCATAACAGCTTAACATTACACCATTTTTCTTATTGCAGCGACTGCGAAAAATAAAGTGTTCATACATTTGCTATCTCTATACACCCATCTATTAATATTGGGCCAGTGGATAAAGCTAAGGAAAAGTCAGCTCGGGAAACCTTTTGCGCATATCCGATGTTTTGTTTACATTGGGGTAGTCTACATTCGACGGCACAGGCACGTCCAAAAAATCGCAGAGTCGATCCCATCCTTCACCGAGTTGCATGACTAGCAGACGCTCTTTGGGGACGATACGCTTGACACGCTCGTTGTGCTCTACAAACTTGGCTTTCAATGCAACTTCATCGTTGAACAGGTCAGGGTTATCGAATGCACCATCCAGGATGATTTTCCCAACCATGTTGACTTTGGGTTTATTTTGCCTGCTTGGATCACGGCGTGAGGCACTGTGTATGAGGAAAATAGTGTTTCTCATTGACTGGTACCTAATGTATGTACTTTAATTGATTTACTCTTATTAAATTGACGGATATTATGTAACGTACCAGCTATCAGGATCCCGTACCGTCAAGATCACTTTGGCGTCGGGATATTTTTGCATTAATGGCTCAAGAAAGGAGCATGTAGGCCAATCTACAGCCGCATCAAATCCGTCGTATATAAAATCCCAATCAACAGCTTTCTCTGGATGCTCGTAGGCTTCAGTAAACATCTCTGTACGCCCGCCCTCTTCATTGTATGATTTCATGTGATGGGTTGTGTAGCTTAAGAATACAGCAAAAGAGGTTGATACTTGGATTCTTTTTATGCAGAACTGTACTAAGAAACGTACCCGAGTATATTGAGCGCAGTGCGCAAGCTATCTGTGCCTGTTCTCCCATATCCTGCTCCAATAATTTTCAAGGGTGCCATGTGTCTAGTAAGGTCTATCAGCGTCGACTTGGTTCAGTTATGCTTTATATAGAAAAATATGCGCGCTATATCGGCCTTTTTCAGAAAGGTCGCATCGGCAGCACGGCCGCGCCTTTGTGCTACGCATGATCTTGATAGCTACTGCAAGAAGTGTATGCTTCTTTTTCCAAAAAGAACCTGTTTCCATCAAGCGTAAATTAGATATAATGTTGATGTCAATATCACACTTTTGTGAATTGACAGCTTTTTGCTGCTTGGTAAAATGCTGGTTATGCCACCGTTCGACTCTCATCGGAGTTGATCACCGCCTCTATTCTCTATTGTACATATTGCGCAAAGCATCAAGAGCTTGTTTATCAAAGCAGATTGTGTATACTGCTCACTATAGTAATCTAGCTGCCGGGTTGTCGTTGCAAATGCGTCTAATGGCTCACAGTATTATCTTTACGTGTAATGACTACAATCTACGCTCCTATTTTAAAAGCAGTTTCCTAAAGTCAGTAGCAGGACCATCTCACATCATCTTATACTACAATAATGTACACAATATATTCCTCTGCATTCCTTTACTATTCGACCGATGCTATTGAATTTTGCAAAGCGACTGTCACGAACATACCTCAAACTGTATACTATGATCATCCCTCAATCTTGATGACTGTATAATTACATAATACATTCCCCAACGTTGATATCGACAAACATCACCATCCGACTTTTCAACCTCAATGGTAATTTTTCCGTTTACTCGCTTTATTAAAGTCCCATAGCAGCATATACCATATTCTTTGCATAACAAAACGACAACCAGTTACCTTGTAACTTGCTACTTCGTCATCATCTGATCACCTACCTTCTTGTCTTATCCTGTTCTTGCTGAAAGCAACCAACACATTCTTGTCCGATCTTTCTGTCCTCGTCTTGCTCTCCTCTGTTTTTGTCTTGCGTAGTTCTTGTCCGCATCTTACAGCGATGATCTTAATAATTTGACTGAGACAGCTCTGTGTTATTGTAAGATGCAAATCAATAAAACACATATTATACATGAGTCCTTATATATTAATGTTGGATCATATTAAAATATATCAATCACATAACCGTACGCTGTAATCAGAATATAAATGCACAGCTTTCGCAACAGAAACAGTGCAACACTATGGAATTCGATATAAGAGTATCATTTCAGCGCAATAGTAGTTGACTTGGCTTAGTGATTGAGATCAGATACTTTTGAGACGCGTATATGATATCGTTCAAGTATAATAGTCATGATCTAAAAAAAATTAGTGCACGGTGGCAATACATTTCACTTCTCCAGAAGCTTGTGATCAAGCGGGATAGCTACGAAAACAATAAAAAACAGTGACACAAAAAAGAAAAAAAAAGAACGGTATTTTTACAAAAGAAAGATCTGAGCAGTTGATTCTGCTCTTCAGATGCTGACCCCTGAGCGACTCGAACGCCCAACCTTACGATCTGGAGTCGTACGCGCTGCCATTTGCGCCAAGGAGTCTTAGATATCCTCTTTCTCAATTGAAAATACAGAAGCTGCTAAATACGGGGTCAAAGAAGAAGAAGTAAGAAGAAAGAAGAAGAAGTAATTTAGATAATTTTAGGCTAAGTTACAGCAGTTTTTGTAAAGGAGTGTGTGGAAATTCTGTTACTACTAGATACAGGGAAAGATATAGGTGCTGCCTCTTATGTATACTATCTCCTCTAAGTACATAAATATAATAATATTTGTTAAAAATATTATATTATATATAAAATAGGTATAAAAGATCTGGCATAGATAGTTCAATCTAGTGTAGCTGTTCTTGAAGGGAGCTATACTAGATAGGGGTTGCAATTGAACAGGTCGGGTCGGGTCAAGGGTCTGACCCGTTGACCCACAGGTCAAAAAAACACTGACCTGACCCAACCCATTCAACCCAATAGGTCAAAACTTAGGTTGACGGGTCACTACTGATTTTGATTTGGTGACAAAGGAGGTATCAATCAACCTGAGCTTGAGCACTAGAAGTACAGAACTACATGTATACACAGCTCTCTAAGATGATGGCACGCAAATTCCTAGCAGTGCTAGCAATATCTATATTTTGTGTGATTATTCTTAAAGGTAAAGGGGTTTGTGCCATAACAAAAGAAATCGTTTGCACTCACATGCATTAAAGAAAGCATAATAGTTAAATATCGACTTCCTTTAAATGCCCCTAATCCTTTTCCCTTTTCCCTTTTCTTTTCATTTCTTCCTTCTTCTTTCATTTCTCTTTTCTCAATTCCTTCTACGTCTTTTGTCAAATCTCGTCTCTCACTGCCACTCTTTATTGTCTATTCTCATTGTACTATTGCTACTTCTTCACTTTGCTACTTCTTTACTACTATTACATATATTGCTTATAGCTTACTTATCTTACACTTTTGAGTATAAGATATGATCCCACAATGAAAAAGAATATAAGTACGTTTTATGTTACAGTTCTATAGCAGACATATTGACAACTACATCTCTAATATCCTTCCCAACAAGAAGATTGACTACTTGAATACAAGTACCTCATAGATATCATGTGTATACACGGGTCACAACGGGTCAACAGGTCAGGTCAAGGGTTAGACAGGTTGACCCATGGGTCAGAAAAGCATCAACGCGACCCATTCACCCGTCCTCAACCTATGGGTCAGATTGCGACCCCTAATGGCTATCCTTTTCATCAAGTTCGAACTTTGACGGTAAGCGTGCATTTTTTGTGTTAGTAGGGCGTTTTTTCGTCTTCACATTGCTTGGTAATTCGATGTCGCTAATGTCGATACTGATTGTATGTTCGTTGATAATCCCATTAGTACTACTAAGTAAATCGGATTTCTGCTGAACCGACCGCATATTGTGGAGTACATCATGCAGCTTCTGTAGTACCATGTTCTGTTGCTCTAATACAATCGCTTCAGGAGTATACACCTTTTGGAAGCTATCTGTGGAAAAGTAAGTTTCATATTAGGATATAAAGTATATTACAAGCACATAATATAATCACAGTATTACTACCTCTGTCAGATTCCAAACGCCATCGATCAGGGATATCCGACAAGCTTATACTGAACCCTTTCGTGCGATATTATGTTGACACGGCAGTCCACAGTTCAGTATGGTACCACACCATCTGTCGCTTGGGTCAAATTGGTATTTATCGCAGTTATCTCAAGCTCGCTTGAGTTCCCTTCGGAGTCGATTCAAAGCGAAAAACGAATTAGCAACCGATTCACGCTTTCCATAAAGTGACACTTTATGTCTTTCTTGCAAAAACTGAGTCTTTTCATCAGCCAATTAGTAAAAACTTTTGATTAGCATATCCGTTAACATATCATCTTTTCAAACCGAAAACAAAGGGTGTAGTTCATACCAATTTACGCATAATACAATCAATTGCTTTGGCCGTTTCAAACAAGCTTCCGGTGGTTTGCATTGCATCTTTGATGCTCCAGTGTGTCCCTTAAACACGCGATGATGCCCTCATTCTCATGTTCAAAAGTCTTCCAGCATAACAAGCGCTCCATTTCTTCTTGAATTCAAGGCAGCTATATAATATAATATAATATAATATAATATAGCAGGTAAGCACAACTCGGCAAAAGCTCCAGTAAAAGATTGGATAAAGGTATTTAGCATACCCGTTGAGATAGTCCATCATTTTCTCTTTCTTTTTGTTTGCCAGCAAACGACGTGGTATCATCTTCAGTATTTCTGTCGTTCTCGCCATTGCTGCTGTCGTCATCATGCTTCGCTTTGGAATTTGTTTTCTTGTGCTTTTTGTTGGATCGCTTATGGTTCTCGTTGGCATACGCAAGAGCACCTTTTTCAATCAGACACTTATAAGCGTCAATGGCAGCCTGGAAAGTCGCTTCGTCTTTTTTACCAACATAAACCATTTGCT